GAGTTGGGACAGAGGTAGAACCGAGAAAGAAGGATAACCACACTCACCATAACGCAAGCAGCAGAATTGACTGGAATGGGCGATTTATCCGGTGACTGAGACTGAACGGTACGGTACAACGCAGAAGACAAGGGTGTCAAGCCTGCTAAATACAAAAGAGCAAGCACGACGGTTTACTACGTACCATGGGTCGACGAAAGAGGGACGAGCAGGATCAAGCATGGCGATTTGTGGAGGGACCAAGAAATACTGGTCGAGATACTCGACAGTAAGGTTCGTATCTCTACCGGGGCAGTTGTGGTGTAGAGAATTTCCGAACGTGGTACCCTTTACGATTGACTTGATTGTAGGAACAGTTAACCCGACGAGCGAAGCCGGTGGACATCGTAGTCGACGAAGCAAGGCTCGACAAGGGAAGACTCGACGAGTCAAGACCTGACGAGCCAGGACTCGACGAGCCAAGACTTGGCGAACAATACTCGACGAGAGAGCTAGATGATAAATTGTCCGTACTGCTCGGTAATAACACATTACGACGTGGGGAATGAACGATAACCACTCAAGCGTCCTTTTTCAATCAGGAAGAGAATAAGAGATAATCAATCCAGATCGGAATTCCAATTCCAAGCCACGTGTCCACTTTTGAGGTAAGTCCCTGCGTCGGTTGAATTATGCCTGCCGCCAGGCCTCGAGGAGCATAGCTTGTAGAGGTCTCAATTGGAAGCTCCAAGTCGTGAATTGGCCCGGACTGGGTATTTCTCGCTTCCAGCGAAAGATCAGTCTCGTCGCTCGGCGAGCCGGTGACCCAGTAGACGGCACCGCTTTGAGTCTCGTTGCACGGCGAGCCGGTGACCCAGTAGACGACACCTCTTAGAGTCTCGTCGAACGGCGAGTCGGTTGCCCAATAGACGGTATCGCTTTAAGACTCGCGAACGGCGAGACAGTGACCCAATTGATGACACTGTCCAAAGACTCGTTAAGCAGCAAGCCGGTGGGTCTTTAACTAAGGACACCGTAAGTCTTCCAAGTGGGCGTATTCTGCGCCCGGTGGCCTGTAAAAGCGTGAAAACACCGACGTCTACCCATTGGTAATAGGTCACAGGATTAGAGGAACGGAAACTGCTGAGATCAGGCAGTCTTCTAGAAAGGATTGTGAGTGGTTGGAGGTATTGAGCTAGGAAAGAGCCACAACAGAACCCGAAGGGGAGAAACGCGATGGAAATTAACCCGACGTACAAGCCCAACTGCGCCAACTAGTTCGGCGGTTGTTATGTTGTTACGTTGAGACTTTATTGACACAGATCTGACTAATTACTGTACCACAGAATGGTATTACCTTAAGTCGCGATGCCGGGTGTTGGGACCTAAATAAACGAAGTAGCTCCGCGGGTGGATGCTAAACGCTTGAGCGAAACATATGGAGCTACTAGAATTTTTAAAGTCAGGAAGCCTAGTTGACTTTAAACCGATCGCATCGAGTTTTTCAGTGCGTCCATGAATGTAATCGAAAATGAGCTGCTGTTATTGCGGTATAGACGATTTTGATCTGCGATACCCTGTTCCTCGACATGTGTCGACTGAGGGTGGTGTCATATCGATATTAAATTTTACTCAACGCTTTATTTTACTTTTTAAGTTGAAGCTTAGGATCGCTATGACATATTACACAAGCGTATACAAGTAAAGGACGTGTATAATACGATTGTGGTATAGTAGAGCAAAACATGAAAGATATGGACGCGTGAGCAGCGCATATATGAATAGTGTCGGTAAATAATGTTCGGTCTAGCTCAAACAGTTACAAGCTGGTCTGTGGACAGGTCATTATGTATATGCGACTTCACGTGCTTCTTGCGGCGTAACAGACGTTGACGGTACAGCGACAAATGCAAGGTAAGATCGTCATATTTAACGCTATCTGTACAAAGAAGGGTTATATCACTTTCTTTTCGCACGAATATCGAGACGCATTGCTAGTTCAATTGAGCATCAGATGCTTGTACGTGCATGCCATATTGGCTGATTGTGGCGCAAAACGGGGTGATAGACAAACCAAATAATGTTGAAGATAAAAATGCACCAAAAGCTGGTAAAAACTCACCATGACTCGAAGCAGAATACAACACAATAGATATTAGAATAAAATGCACCACACGATGGCCAAAATGCGATATCAATTGAATGATTTATCAGTACACGTAGTAGAATGAGCAAAATGCATTATTTGATAAAAAAGATTGAGTGAATGCGTTAAATAATGGAGAGCGGATGTATTAAGCATCGCAGAAGGATAATCAATGAACGAATATATACATGCTCGGGATCACATTGATTCATATCGAGCTTTGCTGTAGGCATTTAAAATAGATTCGCTCTAATTTATATCAACGATGTTTTCGGCAATTTAAACGTGTAATGTTAGCCTTTTGCGTCGATTGATAATTCGTTTTAAACATGAAATATTCCCACAAAATCAAATTTTAACAGGATACATAAATCTGCGTCTCGAACGGCATTGTTTTGTGTGAATGTAGGTGGAGCGACTCGGTTAAGAAATAAGCTTTGTGCCAATGACTTTATTGTGAGATATGCTTGATGGATAATGTAACGGGGCACACCTTGCGTAACTTAACGCAAGGGATTTGGGTGCCCCGACGGACGTACACGTGGCAAGCGAGAAAGCGTAGGTAGGGTAAAAGTAGAACTGTTATATTAATAAATTAAGTCTTTAAACTACTGTCTCTTCGTTTGACTTAATTCAATTATACTAATATAACTGCATGTATGGTGACGTCTCGTCACCACTCATTGCGCGCGTCTTGCGGCGATTGGTGGGTTGATATCATCACGATATCAACCAATGAACAGACCCTTTGGTCGACCCTTCAATATCACCACTTTGGTGATATTGTTTTAAAGAATATCCATCTTTATATTCTTTTTTGTCACTTTCCTTAAAGTGACAATTTCATGTAACGGGCTGCCCCGTTACAGATAAACTGAGAGGACTTAGCTGCTCCCCTTGACTGCATAACTTGCTCAACCGCAGACACCAACATTGCACCTGCAACGGGGCACGCTCTTGCTCAGATAACTGTGCAAGTCCTTGTATTGATAACAATACAAGGTTGCGTACGCCCGACGTCACGTACACGTGGCGTGAGGAAGCGCGACCAAGACAATCCAGAACCCGAAACCTGTGTCTTGAAAGAAAAGTAGAACTGTTATTTTATAGAGTTATTTTCTTACTAAATCATCTTTCGTCTTAATCTAACTATATTAAACTACTGTCTCCTATGTGGGTCTTCTACCCACCACCCATTGCGCGCGTCCAGCGGCGATTGGTGCTTAAATTGGTTAATGTACCGTGTACATCAACCAAGAAGTGGACCCCTCCACGGATATTACCCTTGGAGGCAATATTCCGACAACATCACCCATTTCGAGTGATGTTGATTGAAAATTATCAAAATAGATAATATTCAAAAATTGGTACTTTCGTGCCAATTTTTATGTAACTGGCTCCCCCATTACAGCGCCAAAACTTGCAGCTTCAAGCCAGCAATATTTCTATTACAACCAACATCACTATCGCCAGTAGCAGACTATTTGTGACGACGTTATCTGAAGTGCGGTTTGTGTCAGCTTTGCGTGTTCTATGAGCAATCCTTCCGCTTTCTGTGCAAGCATCCGCGTTTCCCCTACCATAGACATGAAAGAATTTGAAAGGTCTCCGACATGATGTCTGCTTCTCCTACCCAAAGTTATTCTTGATATTATGATTCCACAAGTCTAGGCTGAAAGCCCTTACATTACATCAATGAAGCGACACTTGACATTGTGCTGTCTTTTTGTTAGTCTTAACTCGACGAAACCATTAGGGTGACAGCTACGCATACCTGACATGTAGAATTCGGATATTTATACAAGAGAGCCGGAAGCAATGTGACAATTAACAATAATAGCACTCTCAGCTTACAATCGAAGCGTGTGCTAGATTATTTATTTTTTAAAAAATGAATATCGACGGAAAAGATTCTTTGAGTTCTAATAGATGACTTACGATAGGAAAGAAGAAGAAATGCGTGGATGTACAACGACTGATCTTACGCATGTGGATATTCGGTCACGCAGTATACTTCAGTGTAGCATTTTTTGTTTTTCCAATTTTGGTACATTGTTTGTATTTTTCATCGGTCATTTTTACTATAGAATGCACTGCACATGTTATCATCTTGTGAGAAATCTTATTTTTGTGGACATCGAGTGAATACATCGTTTCATCCATGTTGCGGTGCCTTCTTTATTTCACTCTAAGAGAATCTAGACCTACGAAAGCAAAGTGTGACGTCTTCGGCGTACCGGTTGCAGCAAAATAAACAGGGTCGCAGTCGTTTGTTTATACATGCTTTCCATGTGATTATTGCTGTACGCCAAATGATTGGCTTAGTCAGTTGGTCGAACTATACGTCAAGAGCGATAAGATCGTGGCATTCGTCGACAATGTCATTTATAGAGTCCGCAAGTAATCATTGTGATGATGAATGGGGCAAACATTCCCATTCTATGAGGGTCAAAAGCGTATGTGTGAGGAAAGCAAGAATGGTTGCAATTGATGCGATTGCCTTATCATAAATGCTCGACTGGTCAAGGATCGGCTAGCGCGTGCGCAGCCCGCAAAGCAAAGCATGGACTTAGCGAATACATTATTGCATTTCTAATGGTTTGTTCTGACATCGTGAAAGATCTTCTGCCAACCTTGTGTAGATGCATGCATCCCTTTCGTCGAATCGATCTGCATGGCCTTCATTTCATACCGTTTACTCTCCGCTGCACACGATCAAATACACGGAGAAGTTAGATACGATAGGAGATCCATATTGAAAAACAAAAGCAAGTGTACGCTCCACGATATAATAAACGATTTGCCTCCAAAGTGGACTTACACGTACCATCAGCCAGCGAGTTCGACATCTCACGTGCCGTGACCGTCCTCTCACTTACCTTTTCTTCGCCTTGAGCTTCTTGGCCTTATGGGCATTCGACACACTGTTTGAGAGGATTTCGCGGAGCTGATGTGCAAGAGCCATCAATTTGGGATCTTCAGCCGATAAGAACTTCTGGATGAAAACCATAGACTCATCAAACGAGCGGCCTCTGAACAAAAGGTCTGCGATTTCTTCTTTTGACAATGACCTCTTGATACCACCTTGTTGACGGGACCACTCGTTCACTAGCTCATTATACTTTAACCACTCGATTGCACTCTTAGGTCTCTTGGTCAAAAAATCTTTATCGCCCTTGGAAAGAATCTTGAATATGGTGGTAGGGTCATGACGGGTCTCCAGCCACGCGAGTTGCATCACATCCTGCGCAAGCCCTTGACTTTCAGCTAGTGCGATGTGCAGTCTGGCAGCCTTGGTACTTAAGGCTTTCTCTCCATCCTCTGCCACATCGACAAGCAATTTCACCACTTTGCCGATGGAGATGGGGTTTTCCAACAGCACTTTCAGTGTCTTCGAGTCGTCGAAGTCCGTATGTTTGCTGCTGTATAAGTCAGCGTGAGCTAGCCACATCTCGAACGTCTGAGAGTCCATGTTTTCCTCATCAAATCCAAGCTTTCTAAATACTTCCTCGGGGTGAGCAGAAGGGAAAAGCGATGAAGCTGTGGTCGCGGAGGTAGATTGAGCTATGTGTGACTCGGCTTCGGCCGCGGGGCGAAGCGGAGCAACATATGACGAGAGAGCCTGTGCAATTGTTTTTGCTAGGCCGTTTGTAACGTCTCCTTGACCAATGTGTGACTCGGTATGACGATGGACTATTTCAGCCAGTTTTGCCTTGAATTCTGGAGTAGCGAGATGAGCCACAATCAGGTCATGAACTTCTCCAGCCAGACTTTGGGAGAAGCCGTCTAGTGGTCCCCCCCCACCCGTTCTTCGTAGGTGTGGTCTCCGTGGCCAATCCTGTCCGCCCCCACGTCATTTGACTGTAACAGTCCCGGATCGACAAATGCCGCTGAACCCTCGACTGACTCATTTGGCTGCAGATGTCGCGGCGAGTTGGGCGTAGTCTTGGCAAGGCCTGAAGAAGATCTTGAGCCAAAAGTAGCAGGAGCTTGCTCTCCGGCGGTCAGCAGTTCGGGGCGTCCCAGAAGGATGGTGATATAGGCGGCAGACCGCACGACGCAGCGCATGCGCATGTTTGACACAGGCGGCAGGCAGAAGGTTTAGAAATGACTGGAGGAGGCATTTCCCAACAGCGACTCGGCTTCCGTTCCGTTTGGCCACCTGATTTATTTCAAAAAAGCAGACGCTATATGTACGGCGATTGCTGGCACACTGCGCGCGTTTCTACAGCCAAAGATTCGAGAATTTAGTGGCAGACATGATACAGGGAAGACCTGGTCTATCTGGATATAATTAAACTTGAATAATCAAACGGTCTCATGCCAATAATTGAGCTCTTCATCTGGTCAGCACAGATTCACATCCGAGCGTCCGTCGCTGTCACGGGAAAGTCGGGCTCTAGGAGAAAAAGGTACACTTGATTGTCATCGTGTCTTTTGTGCTAGGTATGAGTACACTATTGTGTCCTTTTTCCTAGAAGCCCCCGATGGAATATGCTTGAAGAGACGAGGGACAAGTGTTATGCGGGACAGGAGATTCGAGGTAGTGTCATCAGGTCGTTAGGTGGACGTGGGTATGGGAAGCTGTGGAACCGTTAGTTGAAGTAGTTCTGTGGACAGAGTGCTAACGGTTAGTAATATATTTTAGTCTTTAATTTACCTCTAGGCGCTGAGGCGTAACAAGAACGGTGATCCAATAGCCCCATGCACCAGCGCTGATCGCGCTGTTTAAAATAGACAACATCTAGCTGCACTTTTTCGCCCACCATGTGCGTTTTTTAGCCAAAGAATCGGGCGGGTTTAACCCCCACTCACTAAAAATTTAACCCGCTCCCATTTGCCGCATCCATCGCTCATTTGATCCTTATTGGGTGAAATTTTCCCCCTTTTTGGCTTAGATAGCGACGAAGGAGTCCGGACTGAATCTGATCTGAGTTTTCCAACGCGTGTGTGCATTTCGCATAGTACTTTCCGCACTGTATCGCTATCATGGCCAGTGCAAGTGAAGGGTACTTGAGCTCTGAACGGCCAGATGATGAACAATCAGACGTTGATGGCTCTTACCCTGATGATAACGGTGCTATAACAGGACACTGCTGACTGCGTACTGGTCAACCAGTACGGAGTTTACTATCACTGACTGTAGTGATAGTCAGTGCCCAGCTAGGTGTAGAACTACACAGAGGAAGGTAGAACGACTAAGGTGAAAGACTCTAGTCGTAGGAAAAGTAAAACTGTTATTAATACAATGAAGTCCTATAACTCTTGTATCTACGTTTGTCCTGACTTAGTTATTCTAATATAACTATTTGTATGGTGACGTCTACTCACCACCGATTGCGCGCGTCTAGAAGCGATTGGTGGGTTGACATCATCGCGATATCAACCAATGAGTAGACCCTTCGGTCATCTTCAACAATATCATCATGCTCTGTGATATTGTTGAAAGAATATTCATCGTAATATTCACTATTGTCAATTTCTTCTTAATGACAATTTTCATACAACGGGCTACCCCGTTATAGGTGCGCCTTCGCAAGTTAAACGCTCTGGCCCAAACCTTTGCGGCAGCAACGATACCTCCTAACTTGGACTTCCGGAAGATAAATTTTCTGGAGAAGTCTTTCCCACTTGTGACGATGCCTTTACGGCGCTGAAGAAGGCTGCTCACCAGCACAGGTTTTCAGTCGAGAAGAGAAAACAAATCGTTCCAAGAGAGCCAGATCAGACGAACCCCAAGACGTTTGCCTACCCGTCACCCACTATATTGTTTGCGCTCGTGCAGGGAAGCCGGAAAGTCGTCTAGAACCAGGGGTAAAGCCGAAACGAAAGCGCCGATCTATTCTCACGGGATGCAAGTGGAGCGCAAAAATAAAGAACGATGCACCCGGAAACGCCGGCTACTACGCCATCGCTTAGGAAGATTCATATAACAGCACATACGTAGTATATTTAAGAGTAGTTCGCTTTGTATAATTCAGGACCATCGTATTGAGAATTCTGCAGTTCTGTGCAGATCTACCCACAGCACAGCTGCGCAGTTTGTCATCTGACCCAAAAAGGGGAAAATTCACCCAATAAGGATCAAATGAGCGATGGGTGCGGCAAATGGGAGCGGGGTATATTTTCCATGGGTGGGGGTGAAACTTTCCCATCTTTGATTATCGAAGTTAAAATCGGATATAATGCAATGGCCTTGCGCGGGGCCTCCATCACTTCGTCTAGAAATACAAGGTTCCCTCATGCGCGTCATTATATGATATATCGTACTTTGCAGGCGAGACGCTTGACTTACGCACTAAGAAATTGGCTAGAGCCAAAAGCTGAGTGTATAAAGACAGGGAACATGTAGAGCATCTGCGATGAAACATCAATGTACAGACAAACTATGACGAGTTCTAGGTCTGAGCGTGTAGTGGTGCTGATATTGGTCTATTGAGCAATACTATCAATATATTTTCGATGCCGCAACAATGAGTGTCGTTCAGCACTATTTTTTTCGTTGACAGCGACTACGGGCTTTCAGAGAGAAGTTTTGCGCCCAAAGTGAATGCCCCGGTGGTCCTAAAATCGTCTGGCCGCCGGTGCGCACACACTCAAGGGCAGTTATGGCGTCGTCTATATTTTTCCTGTAAGACGTTGTGTACAAGTACTACGCATGGTACCTGTCATCTCAAACCCATGTATCATACTCTGATTTACATGCATGCATGCATACTGCGTCAGGAATATAACTGGACTTGTCTAGTTGTTGTTTCTCAGACCCCACTAATATCGTTTTGTTCTCGCATATTGTCAGCCACGTCAGTCTCCCCAGGGAATGTACAATATGCAGCGGTCTGCAATAGCGTAGCGTCTCCAGAAGTATCTCAATGGGTCTCACCTCTTCAATTTGATCATCATCATTGTAAGGGGGCGTCGATGCTTGTACCAACAAAGAACAAGCTACCTACACTGACCACTATGAAGGCAGGTGCTCTGAACCCTTATCTACACTGCATGTGCAGATGGAGGTACGCCCACGAAACGAAGACGCTTTGTCGAAAGGAAAGCGTAACTATGATTAGCATCGTAAAACTCGTCAGAATACAATCTCTTACTGCTTTATAACCGCTATAAACTACAGTTTATCAAAGTAAAGCCACCTGCTCACTACCCATTGCGCGCGTCTAGCAGCGACCAGTGGTTTGGCTGGTTGGCCGGATGGCCCATATCAGCCAATGAGTGGAGCAGTGTCGAATATTACCTTCGCTGGTAACATAATTTCAATATTTACTTGAAAAGGTCAATAGTGGAGAATATTATCAATCAAGATCATACCCGCATTGACCTATTATTTGTGTCAATGACATGTTACGGGCTCACCCTGTTACAGAAGTAGTTACTCATTAGAGAAAAGCTCTGACAGACCCGGCTCGTGGCTGGCAGAGGAGCTCAAGTCGTATAGAGTAAAATGAAGAATACGTATCAGTTGGAGGGACATTAGGTGGGTCAGACTGGTACAATCAACTGGTGCAATTAACTAATGCAATCAACTAATGCAAAAACTTGGCAATCATCGTCTTGAAAATCATCGTCTGTTCTCGCAGGTCATCCACGATACCACGTGTGTCAGCTCTGATCCCACTTGACTCTCGAACATCCGCACGAATTTTGTACTGTTCAGTGCCAAGCCAACGCTCGGAACTGGCAACGACAAGCATGAAAAAGTGAGCTTTTGCGATAGGGAGTTCCATCGGCAAGATTGTTGTCAAATGATCAGCCGGTGTCATCACTTGCGTGGGTGCGACGATAGGTTCCGTTTATTTCAAGCAGAAACCCAACGACCGCTCCGCGTCGCTACACATGCGAGCTGCCAATGCAGTCTAGCTCACATCCTCACCAACGCACCTATGGTAAATCGGGCACCAGCACGACTTTTATATCTGGACGTAAGTCGCTGATAAAAAGCCTACAGAACATCGAATTGTTTGCTTGTGACAACCTCTTGGTCCTCTGTGTCGACCCATATCATCATATTTGCACGTATATACTGAATTCGATCTTCATCCCAAGCAGCTTCTGCTCACATAAAACGCGACAGGACGCACACTCGTGTGTTTAGTCTGCATTTCTTTTGCGAGGCATTTCTTGACAATTCGCCACCTCTGCAACTGTCATCAGGCATAGCGGCATCATGACTTTGGTGGAAGCGGTCCACGTAGACTTCTAGCTGTCTTGGACCATCGTGGCGTGCGGTGGCAACCGTCGCAAACTTATTTTTAGCAGCGAAAATAGGGAAGCGGTAGTTCGTCTTCACATAAGCCCGTACGCGCTGTCACCTAAGAGGGAGGATATGTATTTACTAGTAGTGGTCGTTGAGTTGTCAGTCATTGCAAGATTGAAGGATAAACAGCTACTGAGCTGCCGCTAGCTAGATGCGTCAGCAGCTTTTTCAACTTATAGATTTTACTAATTGCACGCGTAGCTCACAATGGCGTTGACCGCCCACGGACCCGAGAACGTTAACGAATGGTACGAAATGTCCGTTGTCAGCCAGTCCCCAACATACATGTAGGCCAGCTCAGGGATGTTGACACTCGTGTAAATCACTCGGTACCCATACATGCCTTGCCAACATGAGCAGGCTGCAGGTACTTTGTCAGGCATGTACGGAGTGGTGACGTGAAAGAACCTTTCATAAATCTAGTGAAAGGGTCTATTCGATCACACAATCACGACGTGAAAGTGGGGAGGTCTCTTACCATCGTCGATCATGGTCAAGTGATGCAGCCCACCATCAACTGAACACGAGATTTCGTTGCTTGCGGATCTGTCGTGCTTTCGATTGTGCGTGATTAACGCTATGATAAGAGAGTGGCCGCAAGGGGGACACTTTGTTAGTTTGTGGTCGTTGCCAGCTTCCAGCTATGGTGTAGCGCTGAGCCCAATGAGGATCTGTACGAATGTTCCGGAGTCAAACGAGGTTCGAGTTCTTTTCTCTAATGAGCAGCTTATTCCTTATAGCTTACCGTAGAGTCACTGGGCAATAGATGCTGCTGAATAATCCTCGTGGTTACTTCATGATGAGGAATGAAGTTGAGGACGGCAGTGCTCAAGACGTGTTCATTAACACGGACATTGAAGATCTGGTGGGGATGTTCCTTTGTTTCGTACCTAACAATGAATCACTCACTATATATATCCCCTTCGTAGCTGGCGGCGGTACGGACAGGTCCGTTGGTCCGAAGGTAAAAAGAAGGGATCTAAAAGTCGGTATAAATCCAATCAAGCAGCAAACCGGAGCAAGAGCCACTTTTGTCCGGGACCTCGTGCGCGCCCCATAAGAGACGAGTGGCTCGTTGGCACTAATACGGACCGTTCGAACCGATGTCCAACTCGAGCAACATGCGATCTGCTTTATCTTGAAGGTGTCCCACCTTGAGCCCGACGCTTGCTACGATAACTCGAACTGGGTTGTGTAGATGATCGGGGACAAGCCTTCGGATCGTCGCGGAGCGTGTGGCGTGGACAGAACGTGGTCCTGTCGCACCCAAAGGGGTCCTCACGTCAGATGCGGCGACATCGGTTCGAGGCGTTGGACAGACGGGCTCCATCTAGTTCGTCAGCGGCTGACTGTCCTGTACGACGCCAGCGAATCCGTCAAGTTGGGTGTACAAGTGACTCCGCGGCCTTGACTCCATGTGGTCCAGGGTCGAGAATCGGCGACCCGACAAGTCTGTTGTCTCGAGCTTGAGACTTTGACATGCGTGGACAGAATGCCGCGTCGAAGCAGCGGCACGAAAGGACGGTCAGGTCAGTTTAGGTAGAGTGAAAGCAGTGCACGACGAGCGTTAGGCCATACAGTATGTGCGCTCCATGCGGGCACATTATACACACGCACAGTCGAGATCGACGTTGCCTCTTGTACGATCGATCAACGTCGGAGAAGAAGCGCATGGCGACAAAGCGGACAAACGGTTCTATCACATGCAGGTCTGGACTTACGGTCATGCTTCTCCATGCGCCACATAGGTTCCCTCGCACTTTGTACATGCAGAGGCCGCAGCGCTTTCCCCAATTACGTCCACGCGCCGCTTTGTCCATATTAAAAAAAACTCCTCGTGCCACTACTTCTCTCAGACGGCACTCAAACTATGCTCCGTGTGCGCTGTCGCGAGCATTGCCGGATGATCCAATACCTCGTCCATGCTCGCGAGTCGCTTGGCGGCGTCCACCGTGAGCATTTTCGCCAGCAGATCTAACGTCGCTGCTGAGAAGAGGCGATCCATTTTCCACAGCTTTAGGACTCCCCGACACCCCACGGTTTTCACGAGCTCAAAGCCCCGACATTCCGGGAACGGCAGTCGCAGGAGCGGCGAACCCGTCAAGAGGACGAAAAACACCGCCCCGAGCGACCACACGTCCGCCCGCACGGCATCGTACCGCGTGCCGCTCACCGCCTCAGGCGCCGTGTAGTGCAAATTGCCCGCCACGCGGTCCCGACAGAGCTCAGCTGCTCGCGTGGTACTCGCGCCAAAGTTGCAAATCTTGACGTCGCCTGTTTTGCTGAGGAGGATGTTCTCGGGGCTGAGGTCGCGGTGGGCAATGCCACTCGCGTGGAGGTAGCGCAGTCCCCGTGCGAGCTGCAAGACCCAGCGACGGGCCTCTTGCTGCGGGACGCGCTCGGACGGCGTGGGGCCGAGCGCCCGCCTGCTGATCAGCTGCGACAGCAAGTCGCCGCCAGGACAGTACTCCATGATGAGGCGGAAGGACTCGCTCTCCACGCGCGTCGCGTAGTAGCGAACGATGTAGCGGCGGCCGTCCACCACACTGCAGACGGCACCGGGTGCAGTGCGGTGCAACGTCCGGAGCTGCTGCTGCTGCTCGTCGTCCCGTTGCAGCGCCAGCAGCCGCTGGACCGTGCGCCACTCCTGCCACGTGCGCAGACCGCCGCCCCCGTTCCGGTCCGAGTCGAGCGTGAGCGCCCGCACTTTGACCGCTACAGTGAGCGACGTCGGCGCGGCCTTCTCGCCCGTCATCCCGACGGCGGCAGTCCCCTCGGGCGGCATTTCCATGCACCCGACATAGACGTGTCGTGTCACGCGTTGCGTGAGGTCGACCCGAGGGGGCGTCGACGCCGACGTCGTTCGGATACGGTCCGGGACGGCCGACTCGGACGACTGTTGCGGTGGCGGCAAAGGAGACGCAGCGGCCATGAGGCCACAATGGCTGGCGGTGGAGGTAGAGCTTATGGTGGTGGAGGTAGAGCTTATGGTGGTGGAGCTTATGGAGGTCCGAAGGTCAAGTCAATGACCCGAGTGGCTGAAATCGGCTGCTTTGTGGTTGTCGTCGGTCGCGGCGGTTCGTGAGCTGCTCGTCACGGGGATCACCGACTGTGACGGATCGACGTGTCGTGCGTGCGAGTAGTTCTCAAGTGAAGAGACCAATGTCGGGACGCATCGCGAGGAGGAGGAGGAGGAGGAGGAAGAGGTGGGAGACGAGACGGACGACGATCCCACGGCCGCCCGCCACTCCTCGATGATCGAGAAATACCGATTGGGCCGCACTCGCAGACAGGAACGTATGGAAGTAGGCAAGACGGCAGACAGGAAAAAACAGTGCGTGTCTGTCTGTCTGTCTGTCTGCGTCGGTACGTATGGACAGACTGGCGGCTGCTCTCCGTTGGCTCCTGTCGTCTTTGCTGCAAGCCGCGTCGCTCATTTCCACGTCGCAAGGCGACGTCAAGCGGACAAACAGTGCAGACGACTGTGTTCGCTCTGTGCGAAGCAGTTTTCCGAGACGCTTTCTCCCAAGAGCGGTACGGCGTGATCGACCGACTCGCCTTTTTCCTTCCGACCGGCTGCTGACGAGTTCGTATCCACTCACGACAGTGTCCATGTACGTTAGCGTCTGGCAAGGGCGAACACGTTCGCAGACGGGTGGAGCACCGCCGGCCGGCGCTCTGACGCTCAACAGCACACGAGCGCCCTGGCCGCCAGCTGGTTTGTCTCTGCACATCTTAGTATCGCAAGTCTCTATTGCAGTCGTCCAGCGTCTTCTTTCGCCCTCGTCTGACAAGACGATCGGACGTTCGCCCGGCACGTTCTCTGACTCCTCGCGAGCTGAGGCGCTTAGGTCCTGTGCACCGCACACAAGCGATAACATGGCGTTCTGAGTTGTCTTCCCGGTCCGTCCACGTCGAAAGGCATGGCCGCCCCTGGCCAAGTGGTGCTCGACGTGCCACACCTCGCCGCCGGCCAAGACAACACACGTGTTGGGCCTCGTTTCGGCTTGTTCCCGACTGGCGGTCGATGGTTCGCTGGCCGTAAACAGGAACGTCTTCGGTATCGACGATAGCCGCAACAGAGCTCCAGTGCTTCTTGCAAGTTGCAGCAGCCGCTGCTGCTGCTGCTGCTGTATCTTTTTGTATGTTTCTGCCAGGCGGTCGTTTGTGGCCGGCGCGGCTTCGCATCTCGTCGGCAGATGTCGCGCATTGTGGCCATCAGGCACGGAAAGAGGCCGAGCGTTTGGTGCCAGGCAGTGGGACGCGATCTGAGACAGCAGCAGCGCCCATCGATTCCAGCGGCCACAGGTGGACACAGACGTCTGGTCGTGCTCCAGGGCGGGGCGAGACCAGTCCCGAGACGTTCTCTTGGCCGGGCAGCGAAATCGACCGACGGATGTACTGACTGACCGATCGACCGACCGACCGACCGACCAAGAATGACTGGCTATGCAAGTGTGTTTGTCAACCGCCCGGCCCGGCTGGACCCGACTTGTATTACTGCCGATCGTCACGGAGCAAAGAACTAGACGGGGCCACCCACGCGTGGCGAGCCCTTGACGACGCACTCGATCGAGCCGGACGAATTGAAGTGACACGCCTGCTTGCAGTCCCGCACCGTTTGGCCAAATGCTGTTGGAAAGGCTCGAAAACTTCCGTTTGGCTAGCGAACGCGACCACCACCGGAGCAGGCTCTGGGACTGCATCGAGATGACGTGCTGCTGACCCCCTTCACCGAAGAACTTGCCGAGGTGACTGCTGCGTGCTCTGCACAGAGCAAGCGATGATGTCGATGGCACGGTCACTTTCAGACCTATGCAACTGAACGGCATCCACTCGGTACTTCTTCTTGCCCCGCCCCCAGCTTTCGGGCAAGTTTGTATGAGCAACGGCAGTAGCACATGACGAAATTTGCCCGACACGTTCGTTGTGTCGAGACGACTGCACAATCGTTGCAGACAGTACCGAAGTGGCCAAAGCAGCGCTTCTGCTGACTTGAAACGGCACGAATCAGGTGCAATCGTCGAGACGACAGCGCTCGTGGGCGCTGTTATTTCGACGACCGCATCGACGCTGATACGGAGTGCCATGTCAACAAAAGATGGTCGGGCCAAGTTCCGGATACAGCGTCGATTTCGACAGAGAAAACGAGGCAGGTTGCACGCACAACCCCGCGACATCAGGTGGGTACTGCAGCGTCGTTCTGCTTCTGTTCCGCGTCGTGGCAACTCCCGAGCTCGATACGATCCGCGATGAAAAACTCACCAGCGACGTCGCACTCGGTGATCCGGCTGGACGCCGCAGTAAGTTCAAGTGTCCAACTCCCGCCTGTGCTATCGCGTAGAAAAGTCGAGCGGATCGTATGTGGATCACACGGTACAGTTCCGTCAGTTCGCGGTCGACCCATCCAGTCTGTTTCTTGCCTCGTTCCGAAGCCAGAAACACTGGCTGTGGTACCTACAGAAGCCAGAATGCAATTCGTGGTTGATGAAGTGTCGTTCGTCACCAGTTGCGTTTGTCCTCCCTCATGTGCCCTACACTGTCACGAGGCACAGGCTGTACGCTGAGTGAGCTGCTGCACATATGCGTTCACATGATCGATTGAGTAAAGCTTCCCCATCTCTTGCAGCTGCGTACGTGGCTGTCTCGCGACAAACCGTTCAGAGGGTTCTTCCTAAACGAGCGGGCACTCAAGTGACACGGCGTATCAGCTATTCCTTTTTTTCCTCCACTCAGTGGTGTTTTCATATCTCAACCAAAGGAGTTTCGCATACCGACCAGAATCGTTTCAGCAAATCTGGTTTTTGCATTAAGCTGCTGCAGCTTATTTTACGATGAGTAACGTGAAAAGAGTTGAATTGGTTTTACTGAATTAAATCGATTTGTACTTCTTCTTTTTCGATGAATCGCTGTCGGTCAAAACAGTTCATTGGCCCAATATGACAAAAGAGGATCGGATAAAACCAGTCGAAGGCAACGCCGAACGTTTGAGCTGATACATCGTACACACCAGAGATTGCGGAGAAAGCTTTGGCTGACACCGCATGCCCAGGAGAATCAGGTGTAGCAGGCAAACTTGCTAGCTGTCTAGCAGCAGAGCCTGACTGGACGTGATTGGGCCGTAAGGAGAAGAGAGTGGGAAATGAAGGCGGATTGCCCTCGCAGTTTGGATATGAGATAGGTGCACAAGGAGTCGAACAAGTGCGTTTCGTAAGGGATAAGCAGTGTTATTGCGAGCTGCACAGGTAAAGAGACCTGCGCAATATGTTACGTATCGATAAAACTGAAAGAGAGAACCAGCGTGCGAACAGGATCGTGTTAAACACCCGGTTCGGCCGGATGTTTGTCGACGCAATATCGAGTCGAATGCATTCGATTGAGGCCTGGCCGGTGGTAGTGCTCGATGGACGCAAGTGCACCACGCCGGAAGCTGCCAAGCCACAAGACGCTTACGCATAAATGGTGTCCAAAAAGTTCATATTCTTGCACGTGTTCGTAGTTGTTCATCAAAAAACTGTAGCGTATTTTAGCCAGGAAACGTAGCTGCTGCTTGTGTAGGCATAAATGTCTTCCAACTGTAAACACGAGCTCTTGACCGTATTTTAGCACCGACGGGACCGCCAGTGTTACTCTTTCTCTTTACGTTGTTCTTCCCGACTTCATAGCTTGCTCTGACCGACAACGCAGGTCAAATCATGGCGCACACGCCAGCGCTTATCCTGTATGTAGCGTCACCCCCTAGCCTTCTCTTTATGCAATAGAGCCGTGTGATGTATACGGCATGCGGTGTGCAAACAGCGTATGCATACTGCATACGACGGATAACACCACTTCTCTACACTGATAACTTCGGACGACCTCTGGATGCAGTTTGACGCCGCAGGTGTTCTCGGGCGTCCAGCGTTGTCAAGTGATCGACAGCCATGTCGCACGCGTGGCGCAGAACTGCGATTAACGTTTTGTAAGCACACCAAAGTGCCGACGCTGCAACAGCTGTTACAAGCGAAACAGATGGTATCGAAGCACAGGCCGCCAAGCACGTCAAACAACGGCGATACCTGTGCATCTCTTCATCTTTTACCGAGACGAGTGCTTGCACTAACGTCAATAGCTGAGCCAATGTGGAATCGATAGGCGATGGGCCGTCGTCATTCGCATATCGATCCGAAATTGGCGCTCTGTGCTCGACGTGAGGAGGCTCTGCACAATGTCAGCGCTGGAAGACCAAGTCGTCGCAATGGCTGGTGCTGCTGCGACTTGCGAACGAGCAGCTACACTGCATGCAGCTTTCTAGACGTGGGCGTGGCACGTCTCCTCGTCTCCCTTGACATGGGTTTCCATGGACAACATGCTGTCCCACAGGCTTCGTTTGGTATTTCAACTGCCCTGGGCATGAGATGCACGAAGGCGCTGGCATTCAAGACCTTCGGTAAACGACAAGCACTGCTGGAGCTGAGATGTGCACGCAATCGACGGAAGATCGCAAGTTGGCCTTTTTCATGTTGCGCTGCGTAGTCCGATGCTAAGTTGTATTTCGCCCACATCCACCGGCACAGTAGATGCCACTTACTTGTGTCCTCTCGCTGACGAGCCGATTGAGACCAGCGACGTCTCTTCACTCCTGGCTTGTTGTCCGCGACATTGCCGGCACAATGATGTCAGATTGGCTACTCGCGACGCTCCAGCCACGCGATTGTTTCGATGTGAGGGGTATGTGGAAGCATGTCTACCGGCTGCAGATGTCGCACGCAGTAAGACCCGAGTTCTCCTACTTCGGGCTTGGCACGGGCGCAGATCTCTTCGAGGTCACGAGCTTGCGAGTGCGGATTGCACGACACGTAGCAAATGTGGCGAGGGGCCATGCGTCGCAGCATCTTGATAAGCTTCTTGTGCAGGCCCGCTCGTGGAGGATCAACAATCACTACATCTGGGAAACTGGCGGACAGATCGTCTGAGCTGGAACGAACTTTGTCCAGGAGTTCCTCTTCCTGCCAATTCTTGGTCAGGTCGACGCAAAAGAACTGCATGTGATCACGGCCGTAGCCGTTCAACTGCGCATTGACTCTCGCGCGCTCCACGGCCGCTTCTACGAGCTCAAATCCTACAACTCGTTTCGCGTGGGCCCCCATGCAAATGCCGATGCTACCCACACCGCAGAAGAGGTCCCATATTACAGGCTGTGCGGGAAGCGATTCGATCATGGCTTGAATCTCGCGGTAAAGCACGTTTGTCTGGGCTGAGTTGGGCTGGAAAAACGAGTCAAACGAGATCTTAAAGGTGTGACCAAGTATAGCATCTTCAAGGTGTGCGTCACCGTACAGAACTCGTTCCAAAACGTTCCCCTCCGTACAATCGGATGTGGTATCCTCTCTTTTGCGCCGATGGCGTTGAGCTTCGCCGTCAAGACTTTCCACAACTGACACGAGTCGTGACTCATCAGCATTCTCGCCCAGATGGCTCGTTTCGTGCTCCTCAACGAGGTCACGCACAACACATTTCAGCAGCTCGCTCTGTTCTCCGGAAAACGTCGTGGTGACGAGTCCCGACATGACCTCCGTGCGCCCTTCACGATTCAGACCACGACGCAGCACAATCTGCTTGAGATGTCCTTCGTGGGTGGTGAAATCATATGCCTTTACACCTGCCTCCTCGCACCTCGACACAAGCTGCTGAAGCAGTTTGTTACAAGCTGAAGATTGCAACAAACATTCCCTTAGCGACAAAATCCTCGGGCTCCACACACCAGCACGATGTCCACGAGCTTTTCGTTTACCGTGGATCTGCTTGGACCGACGAGCACTAACCGACATCGCCGGAAACATTCCAACCGTAAATGGATAGCTGGGAGACGAAGAAGACGACGAACTGGTATCATCTGCAACCTCATCTTCTTCCAACAGCCAGCGACCGGTGCTGCAGGTGAACTCCATCTTGTTGCGGTACTGGTACACGCTGGTCTCATCGCCTTCAGTCTTATCGCCATCAGTCTCAACGCCTCGAATGTCACGAACCTCCATGTCCAACGAATGGGTTCTCGATCCAAATAGTTCGCGAATCCACTTCTGTTTTTCTCGAAGCTGTTGACGGTAACTCACGTGCTGCAGTTTGCAGCCACCGCAGCGACCAAAGTATTTGCTACACTGAGGACGCACGCGATGGCGACTGGGCTGGAGGACGTCACGTTGTTGCCCGAAAAGTGGCCAGGGCCGTCGAAACTCGTCGTCAGCCCATTTCTCTCGAGACTCGACGTCGCGGTCCCAGACATCGACCTCCAGTTCGTCGCCAGGAGCTCCGAATGGCACAATAACTTGCATCGAAACTCCTTTCTCCGACACGTACGTGCCAATGCCATCGCCGTGTCCATTCAGTTGTTCAATTGACTGTAAATGATTGCACCATAGTTCAGTCGAGTGATATCAGTGTGAGTGCAATCAATTCGATACGACGGACGCGATACGCGACGCACCACTGCAATCCGTCGCTTCGGACTCGTTTGGACGACCGTCTGACGGTGCGCTGTTGCACTGGAGAAGACGCGACGGGTGTGGAGGAGCTGCCGGGGACGAAAGTCGGTCGTCGTCGTCCATCGCCGCACAGACAGACGGGGGGCGGCGACCCAGCGAGTCATGTGGGTCCTCTGCCTACGACGAGGGCGTGCCAGAATATCTGCCAATCACATCGATCGACGACCAACCGACCAACGAACCGACCGACCGACCAGCCGACCGACCGGCCGACCACCAGTTTCTTGGCAAAAAAGCGACGACGATTTGAGGCAGCAGCGGTCACAAATGTAAACACAACAATGGCAACTTAACTGGAGAGCTCCGACTGTCGACCGGTGCAAAGCAGTGCGTTTATAGTGCGAGGAACTGCAGTTTTGAGACGTGGAGCGTCTTGATATACCTCTCGGGACATTCACTCGAACCATTAGCCGACCCACACATGTTTTCTTCCATGTGCGATGCCGCGACTGATTTGATCGCGGACACGATCGTCGATTCTGTAAGCAAAGCTATTCGCGCTGATACGTTTGTCGACCACCTGGTGGGTATAAATGTGATTGTTGTCGTGGTAGTGCTCTTGGTGGAATACAGACACGTAGCGTCCATCGTGTGCGGGTCAAGCACCGACAACAGGTCCATGTAGACGGACAGAGTGCCGATGCACAAGTGTCTTTGACGGACTGCTCGTTGACTATGACGCCGCGTTCACAAGTCCATCGTTCAAGATCGAATCACAGCTCCTTTGGCACGACTTGGACAGCTTTGACGGACAGTCGTGACCGATCACTTACAAATGTGACATCACTAAGAGTACGCGATTAGCTTCGAGATCGAGGCCTTCTCTGTGTCAAGCGAAGCACCAGTGGAAGTCTGCATCGAATCTTTTTTGTCGTCCGTAGATGGCGTCGCAGGCGGGTTCTCCGGCCAACCGTGTGCTTTGTCTTTCGATACACACTGCTTCTCCAAGTTGATGCTGCTGACACAGCGACCATCGATTCGTACGCTGCACGATCGAAGTCATCGTGAGAGAGCTATACCGTGACGGGTGCATCCAGAGTGGTGATCTCACTGCTCCTCTGTCTGGGAGCTGCATTCTCGCTTGATGACTTGTGCTCGCGTAGCAACTTGCCCAACATCATTTGTCACGACAAGGAACTTGTAGTCCTCTGTATATAAGATGCGAAAGCTTCGGTTCATTCTTCACTGAGTCCGGCATTGCCATTACCTGACTATGTAGTTTGATCAAGGCTGGTGGTAGATTTGCGTGCGCGTAGCTTCATCCCGTTGGCAGATGTAGACATGTTCTCAGAGGAGGTTCCAGACGACGCAGCTTGTCAGCTAAGAATGACGCGTGAGACGAGGGGTCAGCGGAACAACCAGATGAGAGGGGTCGAAAACGAATGCTTCTTGCGATGCGGATCAAGTACCACCGACTTGGCTCAACGTTTCCAACCAGGGCCTTCATTTGCTACAGAACCCGTTGATCAAGCTGATCTGCGAATGCGAGAAGAAGGCAGGCGAAGTTAGTACATTGCTATGATGAATGACTTGAGCAAGAGACAATCAAACGCGGCATGAATCAACGAGCTTTGCTACCCAGTCGAGTTCTTTTTGAGTTGCTTCCTGCACTTGCCCGGAGAGACGCGCAATCTCTTCTTTGCACATCTGGAGCTCCGCCTCGATGGAATCCACCGAGCGCTGCTCGTACTCTACGAGCTGAGCTTCGGTTTGAAGCAGCTGGAACAGCTCCGACTGGAGTTCCTGGATCTGGTGGTGTTGGTGAGATGCTGTTTCCTGCACAGCAAAACCATAGCAAAAGCGGTGCATGGATTGACGAGTAAGCACAACATGTTGGCAAACTTGACTGAGCGTACTTTGTCCTGCTTGCTTCGCTGAAATGAGGCCGTTCGCACTTGAGCCTCGCGGCTAAGGTCGCGAAGCTCAGCAGCACAGATTGCTTGCACTGTCTTGTCCGCGGGTTTGTAAGATCGATCAAGCTTGGTTTCTGGCATCCTTGGTTCATGTTTCTTGGTCACGTCCGATTCGGCTGCTGGACTGACGACGAGTGAGCTGCGCACACGGTCCGAAGAACATCGTGATGATGGAAGAACGTTAGCTTTGGTTGAGCTGTACCAACCTGAGCAGAAAGACTCTGCACGCGTAGCAGTCGTACACTGGCGAGTGCAACTGATAGCAACCACCTCCACCGTGCTGCTCCCATTGCATGTTTTCTTCGGCATCTTCTGACATCGAGTCTGCAACCTTATCGTAAGTGGAAGCACTTGTGCTGCTATCGTAGCTGTACATGCTCAGTGCATCAAGCACGGGCTGTTCTTCAGACACGCCCCGTTTCAGAACTTCTTGAATCTCTGGTATGATCAACAGGTCATGTACAGTCATGTCCAGCACATCGCTTCGAGGCGGTACCGAAGACATGACGAACGCGTTGAGTGACGAATACGAAAATGACAAGTGCAACATGGCCAGGGTGAATGCTGTTGACGTTCACGTATATGGGACTGGGGGTTCAGGCACGCCCCTAATGTCTCAGGGCTTTAACATCCACGCGTTGACCAGAAGAGCAACGAGCATTATGTACAACTCGCTTTCACTGACTTTCGGTTGGGGTAAGATATTGTCTGAGCTTGTATTACGTAAGGCCTACAGCAGAGTTACTCACTTGCGAAGGTGGCCGCTCATCACCTTGACCTGGATCACGACCAAGCAAACACGCACACATTGTCAGCTCATTTACGCCCATCGACACGCCCGCCACTGTCTGTCGCCGGCATGAAGCAGCGCAAAACATTCTACCACAACGACACGATCTACCCAATCGAATTCTTCTTTCGCTCCATCCTGTATCTTCTTGAAGAGACTGATGGCTTCCTGCTCGTGCATCTCCAGCTCCTTCTGAAGCGACTCGACCGAGCGTTTCCGATACTGCTTCCACTGCGATTCGGCTTCTTGCAAGCGAGCCAATTCCGCTTGGAGTTCCTGGATCTGCATCTTTTGCTGGCGTGATTTCTCCTGCCGTGCAAGAAGTAAGTAGGAAGCACAGCTTAGTTATCAACCTCTTGACCTAGCGAGGAAGTGTACTGACCGCACCTTTTTTCGTTTCCGATATCGACGAGACGCTGTTTGCATCCGCAGCTTCCGACGAAGCTCGTCGAATTCTGTCGCGTTGATCACGTGCACGAGCTGCCCCGTTGGCAACATATTCGAGGCCGACGGGGGTCTCATTGCATGCTTTGCTGCGAACGAGTTCCTCGAAATTGGTGAAGCCCTTTTTGACACCGAAGCAGCCATTGGAGCGGGCGTCAAGTCTTTTGCATGGGCAGCAAAAGTAAGTGCAGTATGTCCTGCCGTGAGTTGGGGTTGCGTAATCGCTTGCCTGAAATCGACATACACGTCAGCGATATTGAGCGAGTCAACAACTATCTGACGAGCTCACGGTGGATTGGGAGAGATCGGCGATACAGCTAACGCTGCATGGCCTCGCGGTATCATAGCACCAGGCCTGCATACAGGGGCGAGAACATTCAGAAACAACAAAGCCGATGTCAGCAAGACGTCCTTCGCACCAAAAGTCATATCAATCGATCGCTCTCGGCATGCAGCACACAAAGGTTTTGATGCACAATGCGATACATGAATTGGGAAACGAGATGCTGATTCGGTATACGGTCTCCCTCACCTGTGGTGAGCAGGAACTACTGCTGACGCTGCGCCTTTATGCGGTACGCTCAGTCCATCCTGCGGACTCAAACTGTTGTTACCAAACGGCGACTCTGCAGTAACTTGACTTTGGGATCCCGGCGTCCCCGCGGCACCGGTACTGCCGAGGAAATCTACGATCTCTTTCATCTCTCCGTTCAGCGTCTCTCCTCTGTAGCTCGGGCCCTGCATCGCATCGTGACTAAACTCTCTCCTGACCACATCCTGATTGCTACGATGGTCGACACCGCTGTTCAGAGTCGTTGAAGCTGTTGACTCGTGATGACTGCCAGGACTGTCCGTCGCCAGAAGCTCTAGAATCTCCTCCATCATGAGCCGGTCATCGATTCCTGGCTGTCGCCAGGACATGAGTCACTTTCGCAGAGTAGGAATATACGAAGTTAGCGCAAGATGTCTGCGACGCGTCCCACAACCGTTGAAAGGCTCACGAACTTGTAAAAAAGGGAGGAGACCACAGACTTCAACGGGTTTTGGTCCCGTGATCCACGAGCGATCCTAACTATTCCTGATCACGCACCATCGATTCATGTTGAGGTATGGACTGCGCGCTACGCAGCCTTGCACGGGCGTCATGATAATGCGATGACGGTCATGTGACGGTGACAACCGACTCTGCATATCGCAAGGACTTGAAGTGGAAGACGCTCAACACCAGAACTGGAGCCGCCTACGAAGTCCTGAGATAGGACGTGTGCCATGATAGTGTCTACACAACCCGAAAAAGGAATGGCCGACGTGAGATATCGAGTGCGCGGGAATGTAAGGCCGCAGTCGTGGTCCGTTGTGCTTGCGGGTGGACTGGAACTGATGTTTGGGGGATGCACTATCGTGTCGTTGCTCGCAGCAGTATCTCTGTTGCAACTATTTGACAAAGCTGCTGATGACACGAATGCTACAACTCAACACTACCAAAGCGTGCAGCACAGTTCTGAGCTCATATTCTCCGTTCATGATTAGGCAACGAGTCAGCGTGTTGTCCTTGCAGTAACCTGTTCCACCAGCAAGAAGCTTATGTATCTACCCGACGGACGGACGCATAGCAAAGATGCGATTCATCGGCGGCAAGATTTAGCAGAATGGCAGACGACAGGGCAGTGGTAGTGAACAGCAGTCATCGTACAGTCCGCTTGGAAACTGCGCAGTCTAAAGGGTTGGCACCAAAGTTACAAGTCGACGTGAATTCCAGCGAGACAAAGGACCTGGAGCGACGTACATTTGTCGACGAGTTCAGAATGCATCTCAGCTACTCAGCGCTACAGGACCAGCACCGCGCGATACGGATCCTTCTTGCTTCCTTGCATCTACCTCACGTCTCTCTCTTCATCTCATCTGCGGCAGTGGCGGCGGCGGCGGAGGAGCTCCCATCCCCGCTACCGTATGAGGTGGGTATGGCATTCCCATTCCCATGCTTTGCGGCACTGGAGGTGGCGGTGGCGGCACCCCCATGTTCATGTTCATGTTCATGTTCATGTCCATCATGTAGCCTCCTCCGTGACCAAACTGAGGCGGAGGAGGTGGGTGCATCCCCGGGCCAACTGGTCCGCCCCCATGCGCAGCCGTAAAGGCAAACAGCGTATGAGGTTTGAGCTTATTCGGGTTCTTCTGCGCCAGTAAACGCTCAGCCTCCGAGCCGTGACGTTCGTTCTGGCTATCCTTTTTGTAGGCATATTGCACCACCACTTGGCGATTGCACAGGTACTGTCCGTGCATACACTCAATGGCTAAGTCCGCCGCTTCGAACGAATCGAAGCTCACAAAGCCAAACCCTCGCGACAGTCTCGTATCCGGATCCCGCATCACTTTGGGGGTCTCAATGATCCCCCCAAACGCCGAAAAGGTGTCATACAGCAGCTTTTCGTCCACTTCGGCGTCGAGGTTACCCAAAAATAGATTCGCCCCCACGTCCAGCACCTTTTTCTCGTTGGACGCTTTTTTCACGCGAATCACTTTCCCATACAATTGGACCATATTTAACACCTTAACCGCGTACTCGGCGCACTCTTCCGTGCGAAACTCGACAAAGCCGTAGTTCTGGTGGCTGCCCGTGATCTTGTCGCGCGGCATGTGCACGTTGCAGACACTGCCGGTCTGGAGCATGAGCTCCCACAATAGCTCTTCGCTCACGCGGTCGTCCAAGTTGGCCACGTAGACGGTCGCGTCCTGATTGCGCTGCTCGATGGCCGCCGACATGAGGCCGTGCGATTTATTTTACTTACACGCACAGGGGAAATGCGAGGAGCGGGTGTGGGTGTGGGTGTGAAAAGAGCACGTTTCTAACGGAGGCCAACAGAGATAGGATGCAATTGGTCGCAGGACACAAAACAGATGGAGCGGATATTTGGTCGCCATTATTGTGAAGTGGGCTCTTTCGCTTTGTGCTGCTACCAGTCGCAACGGAAAGACACTCTTTTTCGCTCGGGTGGCGAGAAAAGGGCTCACTTTCGCGTCACTTGCCACCACGTCCGATCGAGAGTGTGTACGGTTCGCAATCACATTGGAATTCGAGAACGGCTCAACGACATATGTACGAAACGCAGTATTGCTCACGGACTGTTTACTGTTCAAACGGTACCATGTTCTCGATCCTTCTTAGTAGTTTTCAGCATGCCAGAGAGAGATAGGTAAGCAATGTCCTTGGCGTTAAAGTTGTAGAAAGATGAGTCTCGACCAAGGAGCAGCCGAAACGAGCTTGTCTGTATCCAAGATGATGTGCTTGACCAAGGAAAAGCTTGACAGCTTCGACCATCGTGTGTAGGTAGCCAAGAGCTGCCACCTCGTCACCTTCGGCCATTGTGTTTCCACTTACTTTCACATGAACAATGTGATCCAGAGAGAAACTAGCAGTCTTTCTGGTGCATTTGCCGGGACCCCAACGATTGACAGCTTTCAGCTGGATCGATCCTCGACGACTTACTATACTCTCGACCCGACTGATCAAAGCGGTTACACTCATCATCTCACCCCGTAGCATCGAAGCGTTCATGAAACAACGTCTTCAGAGTCTCCAGCATGCGATCCCTCCGCGGCTATCGCTGCTGTCCCTTCAATGCAACACGAAATGGAGACAGGTTCGTGTTGACGGCCGTTGCCAGGTCACAGCTACGGGCATCAGTCGAAGTTGGCGACTTTGTGCTCATGGCAAATTACTACTTGCTGCTTAGCTCCATCGTGCCTCAAGAAGATCGCCGCAAAGATCGCTGAGAGGCGTTCGTGTGCGGCAAGCACATTGCGGTGGACTGGCACATCAGCACAAGATATCTCGTACGTGCGGAAGCCACGGCTCTGCTTTCAGTAAAAGCTGAAGGACGTGCATCGTAGCCGACGTGCTTCCTTCAGCTGTACACTACACGCGTGCTGACATTCAACCGGAGACTGTGCCACAGTCAAAGACCAAGTCGCAAACGCGGCTCACTACCGGACAACTCTGACAAACGGTATCTGCGCACCTCCTGTCGATTAGCGGAGAGGCGTCTTACAACGAGACTGTGGCATGCGAAAGATGGGTGGAAAGAGATTTGGATGCACCCAAGTCTCCGCTATGCAGCTTCGATCTTCAAGGGTAGTTGAAAAGAGAGAGAGAGAGAGAGAGAGAGAGAGGCGGTTGAAAGGACGACGGCCAATGCGACGTCGGCATTGTAACGCAAAGAAAAAACGGTATCTTTTCGATAGTCCGCATAGAGAGAGAGAGAGAGAGATTACGCATACCGTTCCTGGCGTCCAGTATCAAAGAGCGACGTCGTCTACCCGTCACCCGATCGCTTTCGTATCATGCGATCCATCGAAACTTCTTCCGCGATCTTTGGATCATTCAACGATTTCTCAACGAGCGATGAGAATGGAGTCCTGGCCGCGCCTTTTCGCCCACGTACGTAGTGTCAAACACTTTGGTGCCTCTTGTTCATCGTCTGTTGTGGAGAGTCATGTGATTGCAGGATCGTGCAGAGCGTTCTTTCGCGTCCGCTGTAGTGTAACGTGGGAGACGTTGGGTGCCGACTTGAGATACCTCACGCTTTCTTCTTCTTGTTGCTGCATCGACTACCTCGTGGTACCTGTGAGCGTACAGACTCTTCCCGTGCTCGTGCTCGTGCTCATGGCCTACTGGATGGGAAGCGGCTTGACCGCTTTTGCAGTCAAAGACGGAGTCGTGACAGTCAACGACATGTCTGGATTCTCATGGACTCACGGAGACGCGCGCGTGTTCAACTGGCACCCGCTGCTCATGACCTTCGGCTTTGTCGTTTGCTCCATGCAGGCAGCTCTCGCGTACATCTCCCTGCCGTTCAGCCACGAAGTCAAGAAGGTGACGAGCGTTGTTGCGCGGCGTCGCACGCGTTCCATCCGGTACTGACCCCATTGCTCTGTTGCTGTACAGCGCATCCATCTGTCGCTGCACGCGCTGGGGTTCCTGAGTGCCGTGCTAGGGGCGATCGCGGTCTTCCGCTTCCACAACGAGCACAACATTACCAACCTCTACAGTCTCCACAGTTGGCTCGGACTCATGGTCGTGCTCGGCTTTGTAGCGCTCGTACGTCGCGCACTGCGTGTTCGCCCAGAGGTATTCCCGTCCTAACGCCAGTGTCTTGTCGTGCGATGCAGTGGGTCGGCAGCTTTGCCGTGTTTGTCTACCCGGGAGCACAGGACCACGTCCGCGCCTTTGCTGCGCCGTACCACATTGGCCTGGGGCTGACGCTCGTCGCGCTCGTCGTCGCGACCGTCGAGACGGGCATTCTCGAGAAGCTCTCGTTCAACAACAGCTGCAACGTGAGCGGCCTGTTGTACGGCAGGGCCGTCAAGGGCCACATGGCGCCCGACTGCGTGACGGGCAACGTCATTGGTCTGCTCGTGGCTCTGTCGCTGGCCGCGCTGGTCGTCACGATCTGGCACGCCAAACACGCCAAGTCGAAGACGCTGCACAGGGACGAGACGACGCCACTACTGCTGGACAGCTAAAGCGATCGCGACGAGCGAATAGCCAATGGAGAGGACGGCACGTGATGCGAAGACCCGTTGGTGCTGTTGCGTGCCGCGACGGACAATAGCAAAGGCCGCGTCTACCGATCGCGTGGCGCTGAGCAAGCGGTCTCTCTCTCTGTCTCTCTGTCTGTCTATCTGTCTCTCTCTCTGTCTGTCTGTCTGTCTGTCTCTCTGTCGGTGTATCATTCCCCACTGCAACACGTCCTGTTCTGTTCCGAAGCTCTTTCAACGCGTATTCGTTGCATACTCCGCAAAAAGACGCCCACGTGAGCTGCTCGACGTTGACGGTCTGGCAATCAATCGTCAAGAGCGCACGTGGTGGGGATGGACGTCGCAGCCCTCTCACGTGGCCCGCGCGTACGAAGGGGGTCGAGACCATGTTGCTCGAAGGTACGTGCCTGTCGGCACTGCTCCCCCCCCACATTCGCGCACACTCGCAGCACACTCGCGGCACACTCGCAGCACACTCGCGGCACACTCGTGTTCCAAAACACGGTGTCTTTTTTGCGCGGCGACCAAAACCCGCACCGCTCGTGCCACGACGACGTCGCTCACCCCTCCCCGCTCGCGCCCCCCGTCCTCCTCTTCCTCCTCCACCCCACGAACACCCACAATGGCCGACGACGGGCGTCGCCGCCCACCGCCGCCGCCGCAGTGGGCCGACGCGCTCGGGACGTACAATCCCAACTTCTCCCTCACGCCCCAAGTGCTCGCGATCATGCGCGCGTTCTTCGCCGACTTGCGGCCGGACGACGAGGGAACGATCAGCCGCGAGGCGCTGGCCGACGAGATCGCGCGACTGGCTCCGAGTCTGGCGACGGACCAGCGCCTGGACATGGCCCCGCGGGACGAGCGACTGGACTTTGCTGCGTTCTGTGAGTGGGTCATGCGGTGCAAGGCGCAGCACCCGCAGTCGGTCCAGAACGTCTACACGTCGTGGGCGACGCAGCTCGCGGCGCTCGACTTTGGCCTGAGCGACGGCGAGAGCCTCTTGTTCGACTGGAACCACTCGGCGCCGCCGGCCCACGAGTCACTGGCGCGCGAGACAGTTCCGTGCGAGATTGTCCAACTGTTGCAACGTCGGCGGCTCGCGCGAAAGCGGCCCGAAAGCAGCAGCAGCAGCGCCGGCGCGCCAAACGTGCGCTCGCAGCACGAGCACGAGATCGTATCTGGTGCCGACGGTGGGCAAAACGGTCGTCTGGACGGCACAGGGCCAGCCCACGAGGCAGTGTGGAATCCAGCGGACCGCAAGCTCGTCGATGTAGCAGCGGATCAGACCGTCGGAGCGGACGGAAACAAAGACTCGATGCTGACGGTCTCCAAGTCGTTCCTTGCCGGTGGCATGGCAGGCATTGTCGCCAAGTCGGCTTTGGCTCCTCTGGACCGCATCAAGATCCTCTTCCAAGTAGACGACCAGCGCAAATTCAATTTCCGCAATGCTCTCCGGATGGCCAACCAAATATACGTCCACGATGGATTCCACGCACTGTTTCGAGGAAACATGTTGAACATCCTGCGCGTTATTCCGTACGCAGGACTACAGCACTCGGGCTTTGACTTCTTCAGGCACAAATTCCACGCGCACAACTTCAAGAAAGCAGAAAAAGAGGAGGGCGCTCATGTGCCGAAACTCAGCAATGTGCAGCTCGTGACGGCCGGGTCACTGGCAGGAGGAGTCTCGTTGATTGTGGCGTACCCGCTGGATATCGTACGCGCGAGGTACATGGTGCAGATGGGGAAGCACCGCTACACTAGCATTTGGGAAGCTGTAGTCACGATGTACAAGGTCGATGGTATGCGGTCGTTCTCACGCGGACTGTTGCCATCGCTGCTTGGTACGCTGCCGTACACTGGCATCGGGTTTTCGCTAAACGAGCGATTCAAGGCGTGGGTAAGTAAGTGCAGTGTGTTGTGCTTGTTACTGGCACCGCTAACAACAAACGCGTGATGCGTGCTCGCTTGTGCACGTAGGCGCTTGAGTTTCAGCACCGGCGGTTGGAGCGGAAACATGGGCAGAGTGTGCCCGGTGCAGGCCTGAACACGTTGACAAAGTTTGGTTGCTCATATCTCGCGGCATGTATCGCACAAACCAGTACGTGCCTTTTTGCTGATAATGTCTTTGTAGCATTTGTTTCGGAGAGAGGCTTTTGGCTCGATCATGATTGCTCACCAAGCTTGTTGTCTTTCGTTTCTAGGCACGTACCCATTAGACACAATCAGGAGACGTATCCAGACCGACGGCTACGCTTCGCGATCTCGGGCCGAAATTCGATATACAGGTGTCATTTCGACGGCACGAACCATTCTTGCGCGAGAAGGCTGGCGGGGTCTATTCAAAGGCGTGTCAGTAAACTGGATGCGGGTAAGCCTGATCTTCTTCTTGTCTGCTGCAATCTGTATCCCCACTACTTGTGTGAGTTGCTGATCACGATGGTTCTTGTGCGCCTGTGCAGAGTCCAGTATCAACTGGCATCAGCTTGACGGCATACGATATTCTAAAGGAGGTGATGGGGGTCGAAAAAATAGAGTGAATCCTTGCGCAGTTTTGGCGAGAGCTACCCATCATCCGAGTGGTCGGCGCAAGTTTCGCCACTTGCACAGGCTGCCAGACACAGAGCACATGTACGGCATGTACTCTCTTAGCATCGCACGGTTTGATGCCTTTCGTCTGTAGAGTTCGCTCGTCAGTTATAATAGTTGCGTTGAAAAATGGCCCGCATGCATCCCGTTCGACTGGTACGAATTGCCAGGTCAAAGTTGCTACGCGGAGCAACGAGTATACTATAAATGCGCTAGACTATCATGTACCACGCTCACGGTTCCTAAACGCTGTAAAGTACGTGTTCGCGCCAGTCCGTATGTATTTACAGGATTGCGTAGGTACATGTCGGGCACCGACTAATCGTTATGATGCTCTCTGCTCATCAGTGTCGCCGTTTGACAGCAGATAACGCACTGAGAGCTTGTTGGGACACTCCGACGCGGCTTTGTTACGAACGTGACGATCACAGCGGACGAGCTGACTTATCGCGACCGCGGGTTCATCATCACGAATTTGTCCCGAAGCGTCGATATTGGCCGACTTCAACATACTCGCCACGTCCCGGTAATCACGAAGCACCTCATAAAGCCCAGTTACAAAGTCGACGTAGTGATCATAGCGACTGATCTTGCCTTGCTCGTCAAATTGGAAAAAGACAGCCATTGGCATCAGCACGAGCGGGCTTACCAGTAACTTGTCGCGTACAGTCATGTCAGTGACAGTATAGGGGAAAATGGCGGCCAAATTTCGACGAGTCAGCCGCAGCTCGAGCAACGCAGTCACGTGCCCGATCGCAGTAGTATGATCCACAAAGTTCACTTTCACGCAAGAATCCTTCACCACGGGCACAACGTCACTGAAATGAGAAACAAGCCGTTTCCATTGCGCGAGAATGCTGTCACGACCGACGAGATCGCCATTGTGTACATCACTCCGTACCAATGTCTTCAAATGTCTCACCCGGTCAGCCTGGACACAACAACCAAACGCTTTCATGCACTCACACATGGCGGTCACTACGTCACTGGCACTCATCATATTCCTCTGGCTCGACACATTTGGCTGAACATCACAGAAACGTGCTCGCCAGACATCCCGACAATTATCTGCTTGCTGATCCACATTCTCGCGAAGATATTTCACAGTCGTCTCAAGCCTTTCTACGTACGATCGCTGCTTTGCGCGATAGCGCTGTTGTCGCTTGTTGCACGATCGCTTGCTTCTCTTTGCTTGGTCTCGTCCGTCGTCTTCGTCGGTATTCGCGCTGGGTTTGAGGCACAACAAGTCACAGATACCTCGGTCCATTGCTGCGTGGATGATAATCAATAGTGAGTCCTGATATGCTTTCCCATCTGCGGGTCCCTCCAGCCACGCTTGCCCATGGCTCCTAGCCTCGTCAACATCATCGGAGGTGTGTGTCGAAACATGCTGGGAAGCAGTGATATTTGCCCGACGTAGGACAATCAAAAAAATATGTCACAACTTTTCCTCGAACTGCGACACCAACAGCCTCACCACCTTGTGGACCGAAGCGATAGTTGAGCGTTCACAAATTTCGCCTCGCTTACAAGACGCCACCCTTATTTCGTGCTAACCACCGATCGAAAGCTGGGAAGCGCCGTTGTGTTCCTCTTGTCCACCATTTCTTAGCGGACAAAATCGTTTCGCTTCTATTACGTCACTCGACTTGTCCCAGCCGACTCAGCCCAGTCCATTGTTGCTGCTGACGAATCAAGTTTTGCATTCTTTCAGCTAGAGACAGCGCACGTCAACGTGGGTAGATGCGTACAAGCGGAGCTCGTAGTGCAACTCCTGTGGCTCGGACGTTGACGGGAGTACGATGTACCATCCCGGTGCGAACGGTCGAGAGGCTTTGGCAAGCACACCGCTAGGAGCTCCATCGACATACGTACCGTGCGCTGAAGTGGCACCCGCATATGCAACTTCGGGGGTCGTGGAGAGCAACAAGGTACCGTTCGGTGTGCTCTCGAACACAGATACGTTGATAGACAGAACAGCAGCAATGACTTTTGTCATAGATTCGTCCGATGGTTCGTCCGTTTCTGTTTCTGGCTCCAGCACCAACAATCGGACTAGCAGCTCGCACTCCTGCGTCACGTGCAGCAAGTACTTTGGGTTGAACGTGTAGCGGCCATATGTCGAGCAACCAGCCGCAGAACCGGCTTGGAGGTCCCACTTGCCACGCAGTCGAGTGAGCTGCATACCGTCTCCTTCAGGGGGTAGTTCGCGGTAGGCGATACTCGTGCCTGAAGGTGGGTCGCTTACAACTCGCAGTGTAAACTTGCCAATGACCCCTTGCTCGAAGGTAGATGGGATCAGCACGATGTCATGCAAACCTGCAGCAAGGGAAGCATCGATCTCGATGAAACAAAACCCTGGCTGATATTCGCCAGAGCTCAGTACCATTAACGGTGCTCGGGTCTCTGGCGTCGGGTTCTCTGCATGCGGATTACAGACTCGCTCGCGCACGTGCAACGCAGCGCGTAAGTTGACAGGAAAGCTGGCATCCGTGGGCTCCTTGGTAAAAAACGCCTCAGTCTCGAGAAACAAATAAATCGAACGACACTGCTTCTGTAGCTGCAAATGGATCTGCGGGTTGGCCATGAATGTCGAGTAAAACGGGCGGCCGCCAGCGCTGGACAATTCCCAGGCGCCCGGGATCACAAGTGAAGCAGGTGCGGTCGTCGCCAACTGGGGGATAGACTCGCAAGTGAACGGCCGCGTGGAAAAGATCGATAATGTGTAGTCAAGAGCTGCAAACTTTTCGTACTGCGAAGCCACAAGCGTGAAGGATGGCTCGCAGTCTTTTGTCAAGTCCAGGTCAAGGCTGACAAGCGCGTGAGGGTTATTGCTGTATGTTCCTCGCGATATTGCGTTTTGGTTGTAGAATACGCGTTTTTTCGCTTGACCTCGATAAACGTGTAGCGTGAGATACTGCTGGTTCGGACAGTCTCGGTCGCGTTCGATCGCACTCACATGCCTCGATAGTAAGACCCACACGGTGCACGAACCGCTTGCTTCAGTCTTTCTGTCGTCGGCCCTCAAATTCTTGCAGAATGTGAGCAAGTACTGCGGATTGAATCCGAGCGTGAGCGAGTCGTTCACCGGTCCAAGCTCCACAGGCCAGTGCTCATGGTACACGCTTTTGTACGGGAACAGCTCAGGGTTCCAGTTCATGTACAGACTTTCGAAGTACCGTACCACTGACTCAAAGTCGATCCAAAACAGCCCGTCGTCTGGTCGCTCTTCCGCGGTTTCGCTTTCCTCAGTAGCGTAGAATCGTCGCTGGTACGCCCGCAGCTCGTCGCCGATAGGACTGTTCCATCGCGCCGTGTCGTGACACGAATAAGGGCCTTTCCAACTCATCTTGCGCCAAGGATTTTTGACCAGCAGCAACCTAGTCTTTTCGCCATCTTTAGAGGAACCGGCAACTGAATCGGGACCAGCAACCTCGTACACGTCGAGAACCGCATAAACGTGCATCGGCACTAATCCGATCGCTTTGGCCTCTTGCTTTGGAAGGTCTTCTGTGGTTAGTGTAATGATGCAGTCTCCATAGTGAAATGCGCTCTTGAGCTGCTCCCATAACCGCTCTTCTTTGTCTGGTGCGTCGACGAGCTCAGCGACGGACACGCGTTCCGGGATCCATCCTGTAAGTGCAAACAAGTCGATCCCAGAGTTGCCACCCGGAAAGTCGTACCCGCCGTTCAGTTTCAGGTACGCCTTCTCAATGAGACTGACCCACAGCTCGTTCTTGCGTGTCGTACAGCTTGACAGCAGTTGCCCTGAAGCAGCACTGACCGGCAGCAAGTCGTCAATGACTACTTTTCGAGGCACACCGTTTGCCCACAACTTGACAACGTACTTCCCAGAAGGATTGTACACTGGCTGGTTCGTCTCCGGATCAGCCGGAAAGATAATGTTCGAGATCAAGCGCTTCCGGAATCGCTGTTCATAGGCTGCTGCAATACACAGCGAGGCCACAAAGGAGCAGTCGGTGACAACGTCTTGCTTCACCACCAGCGGGTTCAACCCTCCCTGTGCGATCATCACTGCAGCATGGCCGCACTTGGCTTCATAATCACTTGGTCGCATCCACACGACGCTCGTTTTCTGCTGCTTTGCCGACAGCGACAAGAGTCCGTCTGGGTCGTCAAACACCTGCGGCAGATAAAAGTTTTCCAGCGCGTCCAAATCATCCAACCACGGCACAAACAAGTGGCCGTTGATCAGCGACGACCGACGGAGCACATGAAGTTCCAACGGCGTGTACAGAGTGCTCTCCTCCGGCTCTGTCTGCTGCTCTCTGTCCAGAACTTGTCCACCGGCCAGCGGCACGACCGCCGCCTTCTCCTGCGGCGGTGGCGCCTTTTGCCGTGTCGACTGCACGTCCTCCTGCTGCTTGTGCACTTGCGGTGGCTCGTCCAGATTCTTGAGCTTCGACACGTATTCGATCACGTACTCGAGCTGCGTCTGGACAGCGGCTTTGGCTGCTATGGCGCTCGACGGCAGCGCGTTCAGCGCCTTCAGGTACGTGTCGGCCGTGGCGATGTACCTCTCAATGATGATATCACGATCCAGAGGTCGACTCGCTTCGGTTTCCTTGGCCAGCGCGTGCAACTCCATCGCCGCGTGGATCAACACGTCGCTCGAGCGCTGCAACGTCTCGACGCGCGTCTGTAACTCGGCGATCGTCTGCTGCAGCTGCGAGCGCTGCGCCGCCGACTCGACCAGCGCCAGGCGCTGGAAGATACGCAGCGCCTGCTCCAGCAGCGGCAGCGCTTGCACCGCGTGGCCCGCGCGCTCGAAGCTCTGCGCGCGCGCAGTCGCCTCGCGCGCTTGATCGTAGTGCCGCTTGGCCATAGTGCGGAGCAGAATGATTGTCAGTCGGATGACCGTCGGTCATTGGTGTGAAATACTCGGCGAGAACGCTCGTGATTGGCTGAAATGGATCGTGGGGGCCGCTGCGTCGCGTACTTTGGAAGCCACGAAATACGACCACGATGAGCGGTAAGGAAGCGTGGAAGCCCTTTGTGCGGTTCGAGTACCAGAAGCTGCTGCCTGAAGCACTGCGGAACAAGGTGCGGACTGCTGTCTCTCGTGGTCTAAACACTGCTGCTCTGCGCTACTGGCGTGTGGCATCGCTCACGCTCTGTGCTTCTCTTTTCTGCCTCTATTTCTCTATTCTGCCTCTATCGCTATCTGACGATCTCTATTTCTATCGCTATTTCTATCTCGACTCTTCCGTCGGTCTGTAAATGGATATGTATGTACCCATAGCTCCGCAAGGTGTTGGTCTTCACGGAGGCCACGGGTACCAAGCAAGTGAACCAGTCGCCGGCCATGTCGCAGGGTTACCGCTACCCGTCCCCTGACAAGCAGGCCGAGGGCGTGTTCGTGCCAACGTCCGACTCCAAGGACAGTGTCTACAACATCCAGTACTACACGCGCGACGTTCGCAGCTTGTCGTACCCCGTGCAAGTCGGCATGCACCCATCGCTTCCCACTGAGAAGCGTGCCGAGATCCCAGCTGACGCGAAACGCGGCTCGCCTGGCAACAAGAACCCAGCTGTGCTGAGCTACGACCCCTCGGGCACGCGCTCGGCCATGACGACGACCCACGAAGCTCGGGACAAGCTCATCATGCAGCACGCGTCGACGCACAATGTGCGCTTTGAGTGGGAGGGCGACGCGGAGAAGGACATTGTCGAGAGCAACGAGGCCAAGAACCTGCCACCAACGCCCGGCCGCCCCTTCGTCTGGAACATGCCCGCGCAGAGCCGCGTCATGCGCTGGTAAAGCAGAAGGCGCAGAAGCGTTGCCGTAGCGGGCATTCGTCACCACTAGACGCGGTGTTGTTGCTGGCCGTCGTGCTGAGGACGATGGAACTTCTTGTTGCACTAAAGAGGAGAGAATGAGCACACGCTGAGACGTAGGTGAGACCCCCGCGTGCCTGTTGATGGATGGGTACAAACAAGTCGGTACTGAAATAAGAAGAGCTGCCGATGTGTCATAGGACTTCGTGTTTACGCTTCAGTTTGCAAAAGTCCCGTGGAAGCGTAAGTCGCACTTAGCACGTACTTAAGCCAAAGCCGATGCAGTTCACAGTGATGCCAGAGCTGCCGACGCCGCCCGCGCCGGAGGTCATGGCCAAAACGGCGCAGTCCATCACGTTGCGCGTGCAGAAACCGCCTCAAGCGGACGGCGACGCGCAGTACAAGCTGCAAGTGGTCGGTGTCATTTGCCGCGCTTTGTATACTCGTGTATACGTTCTTGTTGACGCGGTGGGTGTGATGTGGCTCGCGTGTGTATACAGAGCTACAGCGAACATGGCTACGTCTTTTACTCGTGGAGTGAGTCGGCGCTCTTTGCGGGCAGTATGTTCCCCGTGAAAGGCCTGAGCCCCAATACGGTGCGGCTTTGTCGCTACACAGAAGCGTAGACGTGGACTAATTTGTAGCGGGACACTGTGCTGTCTGCACTGGTATACAGACCTACGTCTTCCGCGTGCGCGTGGTGCATGAGAAGGCTCGACAGTGCGGCGAGTGGTCAGTGCTGACGCCAAACGTGCGCACGTTCACGGAGGAGGAGGACGCCAAGCGCTCGGGCACCGTGTTCGAGCATGCGCTCAAGCTCGAGCGCGAGCACAAGAGCGTTCTCGAGGGACAGATCTCCAAGCTCACTGGGATGCTGGACGAGCGGAAGACGACACGGGAGGACGAAGGCAAGCTGCAGCAGCACGAGGACATGCTGGCCAGTCGCCGCGTGATCGACACGAGTCTCGGGAAGCTCCAGCAGGAACTGAGTGCGCAGACGCTGGCGCTGCAGACGATCAAGAGTCAACGCGCTGCGGACGAGCAGATGATCACGGAGCTGCTGAACGAGCAAGAGACGCTGCGTTCTGCGCAGAGCGAGCAGCAGGGACAGGTGCAGTACGAGCTCGAGATGCAGACGCTCCGTGCTCAATTGGAGAAGAACGAGCAAGCGCTGAGGAAGTACCAGGAGCAGGTGAACGCGAGTCATGAGCAGGTCTTGCACTACGAGACGTCACTGCAGGTGAAGGAGCGGGAGATTGCGCAGAAGGAGGAGGAGGTGGAAAGAATAACGGCCGACTGCAACCGCATGGTCCAGGAGCAAGCTGATTTCGCCCACGTCAAGCAGCTGGAGGTGGAAGATGCCTTGCTGGAGGCAAAGACATCGCTGGAGCAGCAGCTGGACGTCAACACGTACTTGCGCGAAGAGGTCTCGCGTCTGCGTGAGGAGAACCACCACCTGAAGAATCAGATCAAGGAAGTGGACTCGGAGGTCGTTCCCAAGCTGGTGCGTCTCGAGGACGAGAACGAACGGCTGCGTGCCCAGCTTAGCCGCCGGTAGAGCGCCAAACGTCAAGCAATGGACCAAGGGACCCTCCGGGCTCGAACGCACGACACCATCGACGCTGGATATGGTGGCAGGATCGCAGGGGTGGGTTGACCACGGCCCTTGTGCCTGAGTCGCGTTCCGCCGGGCCTTGCCGTTTTCGTTCAGTATCAATTTGTAATGTGTAATCACCGCGCTCTCATGTAGCTAAATAGCCGAATGCCTCCTCGTTTCGCAAGTCCCGATGCTTCTTGTCGCGCGTGCAATCGCTTCCATCCCCCTATCAGTAGTCAGTCTAGAATCCGCTATCCTCATCGTCGTGATCAAAACCGCAAAGCGTGAAAGCGTCAGCAGACCCTAGCGGCGGAAGTCTCGATGGAGGTGAGCTAGCCGAAAGAGCCGGAGACGGGTCGAACAACGTGCGGGATGGCAATGGCCGTTTCGTTGGTGCGAGATCCTCGTCGACAAAGCCTTCATCGTCGATGGACGAACCTACCGACATGTTGTGAGACCGACTGAGACTGCCCATGTAGCTATCGGCGCAATAAGACGCTTCCGATACATCCAGCGGGTTGGGTGCGCTTCCAGCTATGCTCATGCCTTCGTCGATCAGATCTTCTTCCGCTTCGCTGACATCATCTTCCTCTTCTGCATCCTGCTGCAGTTGCCGGACGGTGGCCTTGACAGACTCCAACAGCTCGCAATTTTCACTCGACGTCGGATCAGCGTGCTTCCAGTATAGATACAACGGCCCAACGTATCGAAAAGAGCGGCGCAAGAGGTAAGGGTCGAACGGAAAAAACGTCTCGAGAGGCTGGCGTTGACCCAGCACAATACAAGCAGGAGCTGATCCTGCTGAGGTCGGCTTCTTCAAACGCTCCATCGACTTCGTTGTCTGGCTGCTTGACGCAGAGACGGCACCAATGGTTTGATCAACACGCGCGAGACACTCCTCCGACACTAAATCGAACGCCTCCACCAGGTTCAGAAACTCCGTGGCCACTGTCTGCTGGCAGTACGCCAACGGACAGTATCCACTGCTTGTAACGATCAGTCGCTCCCAGCCAAGACTGCGCAGAAATTCGTAGCCGGCACTACCTTCGCTAGCGGCAATCTCTAATCCTCTGAAGCACATCATGTAGCACACAGTTTGCAGCGAGGAGACATAGATACTCTCTTGGAAGACGTGCTGTCCGGCGATTCCCATTTCGTCGCTCTCCTTTAACAACCGCTTTGCTTCCTCAGCAGCACTGCCGTTCGCCTCGTTTCCTCCCTCTTGCTCTTCCTGTTCCTCCTGGTGCTTTGCATCGTAGATATCCATCTGGTCATGTAGCCATTTGCACAAGTGATACAGAGCTTTCTGAAGATACGCGACGGAAATGTACTTGGCACGGGCAAGAAAACTAGCGAGATAGGCGCCACAGCTTTGACGTGTGATAGGCGGTGTTTGTGGGTCCAGCGACGAGGCCAAGAGTTGAGAAATGAACACGTCTTGGAATTGCGGGTCCATGCGGCACACGTAAAAAACCAAAAACTGCGGATACTTCGACCGATGAGTGCTCAAGATAGAATGCTCAAACACCTTGAGAAGGTGCTTGAACACTAGCGCGGCTTGGCGCACATCCACGTCTTGCTCGCCACTGATGGCATCCGTGACAGCTGTCGCTTCAGAGGACGCCAACGTGGGCGCCACAGACGCAGCAGACTGCTCAATGTGCTCGAACATGATCAGCATCATTTGATCGAGTTTGTCTGCCATCTCATCCACTTGGCGCGACGCATCGTCAGGCGGCAGCATATCATCGTCGAGAAAATCGTCCATTGTGAACACGTCTTCTTCACTGTCATCCAACTTGATCTCCACGTCTATCGCCACAAGCTGATCGATCACCAGTCCAAGCACACGCTCGCGTAGCCCACTGACATACTCTGTCACGCGCAGCATGTTCCGCAAGTACGCTACTTGTGTAGGAGCATCCAGTCGCTTGTGCGGAAAGTGCTCGCACAAGACAGGAAACAGTACGTTTGTCGCTGTGGGCACCAGCTTGAGCACGCGCTCGAGCAAGTGGTGCGCTGTTTCAAAGCGTGCCTGGATGCGTTCTTCTAGACTCAGACACTTGCTCTCGGGCGCTGTCACAATCACTGGCGTCGTCGTGACCCTGACAGACGCGTTTGCAGCAGTACTTCCACCACCATCACCAGCAGCAGCAACTATCTTGGCCGCTCGTTTCTCTCTCTGCTCTTGTTGGGCAAGTGCTTGCAGCTCTGGCGGGAGCTCTTTGCCCTGAGGTCGCCGCATGTTGCGCACGAGCATGTGGAGCGTCGGCACGACGTACACCGTGTTGGACGACACCAAGTGCACGATAAAGCTCGTGTAGTCCTCGACTTCGTGCACGTCTCCGCTCCCCAGCAGGTCAAACTTGAACAGGACGTCCAGCAGCACGCGATAGGCGCGCGGCTCCCGCGCCATTGTCGAGATACAGCGCGGCAGCGCCCGAAAGATCTTGCGACGAGTGGTGACGGGCGCTGGTACGATCGTCAGCTGCTGGATCAGGAACTGGTAGCTCTTGTCATTGCCCTACAGGTGCGAGAAGAGAGCGATAGGTCCGTCGATAGGTACACGAGTGATAGTTTTCGTCACGTTAGCGATTGCAATGACGAGACACAGAAAGAGAGACAGAGAGAGACAGAGAGAGAGGACAGAGAGAGAGAGAGAGAGAGAGAGAGAGAGGAGACGGTACCTTGACGAGCAGATCCAGCGCGTTGTCGATGAAGCGGTGCATACTGGCGACTTCCTCCTCCGTCGGTGGTGCCGCCGCCGCCGTGGGCCGTAGTACCGCAGCAGAGCGGTCTGCCTCGCTTCCAGCCATTTGTCTCTTTGTTGGTCCGGCCGCGACGAGGATTAGCGTGCGCTATCGAAAAGCAGTATTTACGCCACGATTGCTTTCTTTTGCGTCCTGCGCTTTTACTGCCCTTAAAACCATGCGCAGTCCCACTTGCATCCTGTCTTATCAAGCGCTTTTTAGCAATCAAGCCCAAACGGGCCGTGACGACGTTTCCAATTCAGCTGCTTTTACTGCAGCGACGACGTTGCGCTGGTTTTACATCTGTTTCAACAGCTCGCGCCGGCGTTGCGCTGGTTTTACGCCTGTTTCAACTGCTCTGCGCCGGCGCGTCAAACCACACGCCCAGTGGATGTTCCGATGAGCCTCTCGGCGGCAGAACGTTCGGCGGCCCGACGCTCTGCAAAATCGAGCGCACTGCCGCTCGCTCGAGACCGTATTGCTCCGCCAGCACGTCGGGCGTCCATTTCTCGGGCGCGGCGTAATGCAGGCGCAGGACCGCCCTCAGCTCGCGCGCCGTGAGTCGCCCGCGCACTGTTTCTTGGTCGTGGCCGCCCGCGCCCGTTGACGACGCGGCGCTCGTGCGGTCTATCGGGAGGCGAAGCGGCTGCGACGATCGCGGGCGGTGGCCGCCGGCCGTCGCGTCGAACGCGCGCGTCGTCTCGGCGAGGAACTCGACGCGGTCGTAGTCGACCGATTCCACGTGCGTGCGCAGGTCGCGAGGCATCTCGAGGAGCTCTGCTTTCGAGCCACTGGCGTCGACGGGCGCGGTCGACGCCGCATGGGCAGCCGGTCGTGCACGACGGGAGAGCGCAAGCACTTGCGCCAGCGTCAAGTCGCTGCGGACCACGCGGGTGCGCAAGACGGACGACGCCGTTGCCGCCGACGTTTTGCTCGGAGCGGCTCCCATGGGACAATAATCGATCGGACTTAGACGGAGTGGCAGCGAGAAACACTTTGTGTATAAAGTTGTTGGCAAATTCGAGACTACAGTGGCTGCTCGCTTGACGGTGATGGGAGTGCCAGTGCGAAGTTGTGTGCTGCTGCTTCAAGAGCCGTTGCGCTGCTGACGCATCGATCGAGGACTCGAGTCGTGATGTGTCATTGAGCGTCTTCGCAAGCATCGGGCTAGGAACGGATCGGGGCTGGATCTCGGTCGACGTTGGTCGACTGTCTCGTCGAAGAACGGAGCAATTGACCGTCCAGCGGTCTACAAACCGCTGTAAACCGGAACATGCTCGTCGCACGCGCAGACCCTTCCGGCTGTCCAGACACTTGTAGCTGTCCAGACCCTTCGAGATGTGGCCATCGTTTCGCGCAGCTCAGCGGTGCGCCTCCTTTTGCGTGGTGACCCATCCGTAGCCACACGCAGACTCTCTCGTCTTCTTTTCGGTATCACCGGATAATCTGTCAGCCAGTCCTGAGTGTGTCCGACGTGTCGATTCATCCATGAGCACACGGGACCTTTACGGGTTAAAAAACGAGTTTGGCAAGCGCTGCTGTTGCTGCTGCTGGCCTCCCATCAAAGCGGCAGCAAAACCTGGAGGCGGGCGGGCACGCACTCGCGAAGACGACGGACTCGGCGACTCCGCGTGGCTCGACAGTGTCGGGGCGCTCATAAACGCACTCAAACTCGAAGTCTTTTGCTGGTACAGTGCCGCCGCACGCTCCACAGCTGCCAAATCGGCCATAGGGGCAAAAGTCTGAGTCCTGCCAACATGGCTGCTTGAGCCGAGTCCCTGTGCACCACCATTTCCACCAGAAGTGGTGGAAGGCGTCCCAGTTTCACTGCGCAGCCCATTGTTACCGCTGATTGGCATACCCAGAGCACCATCCCGAGTGCCTCTTTGTGCTGTGTTATTGCTCGTTGAGCCGCTGTTACCGGCACTGCTTTCCCACCCTGACACGAGGGACGCGTTCGGTAAGCCACCTTTTCCATTGAAAGTGTCAAAGCTGGGGTAGCCGAGGCTTGAACCAAACGAACACTTGCCAATGCCGAACGCGCCGCTCTGACTGCCAGTGCTGGCATGACCCCGGTCATCTGCTGACGAGATCGGGCTCGGAGATCGGAGGCTGAAGGCGTCGCCTCCTGATGACGTACCGAAGGAAGGTGCAATGCTTGCACTTGCACCAGGTGGCTTAGTCGCCTGGTCATTTGCCATCGCGCCAAAAGCTGGCGATGGCCTGAACACGATCACCTCGTCATCAAAGTCGTCGTCCTCATCGACGCTCGTGCCAGCGCCATAACCGCTGCCGAAGGTTTCCTGCGGTTGTTGCTGCTGAATGGTCTTGGCCGAAAAGTACCCGAGATCTAGTGAAGCTAGTGCGTCTGACATGCCATTCTCATGCAGAGGGTCGTTTGTACTGACCACTGGCGATGTCGTGAACAGTCCCGATGCACTACAAAACAGCAGCGGTTCTCCCATGTAGCCATCGCACAAATACCGCGCAAAGCTATACAACCTCCATGCACGAAGCTTTGCAGCCTCGTCGTCTGACAACGGCGTCGATTGCGATTCACTGCTTGCTCCAGTAGCTGACGTCTGCAGTGCCACTTCATCCATCCACGTTGACGCGGCACCTTCTTGCTCAAGCGGTGTGAACCCTCGAAGCTCGAGGCTTTCCTTCAGCAGGTGCTCTTGTTCGCGTACAAAAAACGGCAGACTGCCTTGCTGTTCGGTGTTCGACAACAGCGGAGTGTACAACTCGCGCATGCGCGCATGGTTCACGAGCTTAGCCAACGTGCCAAGAAACACGGAAAAGAACTGGTCTGCGCCTGCTCCTTGTTCGTTCGCTGCTACATCGCTGTATAGTTTCTTCTCACGATGCACCAAAAGCTGCTCCAGTTGCTCCAGCATATCCGGGTGTAGCTCCAGATATTGGCAAAAGACTGCCACCGGACCCAAGAATCGCAGCGCCGAAAGCGCCGAATCTTTCAGACTCTTGCTACTCGTACCCGCCTTCGACTTCATGTCCAGCATTTCTGAAATAAACTCCATGACAGTCGACGTTGTACGAACAGAAAGACGAAGCGCATCTCCCATTGGTGTAGATTGCGAGCGCGAGTCTGCTGCGCGGATCATGCAAAAGATGTTCGTCACCACGACCTTCAGCAGCAATGAGTCTCCCACCACACCTGCATGCAACAGCGTTCGCAAGTCTTTGAAAAGCACAGCCTCCATGTCGCGCGGATACGTCGGCACCAGTCCCTCATTGCTACTCGACGGCGTGGTGTGAGACCCACGTGGCGACGACAGCACAAACAAGATGCCGTGCATTCGTGTGAGACGGTGCAAGTAGCTCTTCAACAACGCCGACTTTTCCTTCGACGATAGAGACAACGACGTGAACTTCATGGGAGCAGCCAGCGGACGCTGTCGACTGCGCTCAAAAAGCAGTGCCAAATTCTCTTCTGCTGTTGTAAACGGCTGTGCCGTCAACAGACTCCTGCAATAGCGGTACACTGCCACTGTCTCTGCCTCAACGTATGTCGCCAGTACTGCCAATTGGTTGTGCGGGTTTCCGTTCTCGGGCATCACTGCCAACGCACGGTAATACAGCGCACCGGCCGCGGCAAAGTTCTTTTTCGCTCGTTGACTGTGTAGTTCTTGGTAGCGCGCCAAGTCTCCGAGGAACACGTAGCAGCGGTGCAAACTCTGGCGACAGCGGGTAGCGTCACTTCTGTCGGTCGCCACAGCATCTCCTTGCTGCGCGCGCTGCAGCCACGTCGCAAACACGTCCCTCAAGTGCGTGTAGAAACCCGCAGCTTCCGCCAAGAAAAGCTGAAACTCTTTCGACACGCGGTCAAAGTGTTCACGCACATTGCGCTCTGTCTGAGCAGCTGCTGCGTACTTGCGGATACGGCGACGAAAGTCCTCGATCCGGCGATAGAAACAGGGTTTCCACAGTGCGAGTTCCACCTCCTTCTCGGCGGCAAACAAGGGGTAGGCGTCTGCGAGCCGCATTGCAGCGTCCATGAGCTGACGGCGCAGGGCGTTCGCGTCGTGGGCGTTGAGTGGATTGGCCCGCAGGAGATCCCGCAGCTGCTTGTCCAGCGTCACGAGGTCCCTACGAATAGAGAGAGACACAGAGAGAGAGCACACACACACACGAGACACAAAAACAGAGACACAGACACAGGCAATCGATGATGAGAGAGAGAAGCAAACAGAGAAGAAGGGGGCGGACGTGGCAGAGGTCGGACAGCGTACGTGTAGGCGCGGCGCATGTCCATGGGGCTGCTGCTCACTGGCCGATGGTCGAGAGCGCGCGTTACGAGAAAACCCCGTTAGAAACGTTTCTTTCGACGTCAAAACGATTGGCGCTCGGCGACGCGTGGATTGGCTGAAATTAGACCGACGGCGCTCGAAAGCCTCACGCACGTGACTTTCGGCTGAAAGAAATGGCTTCAGATGGTCTGTGCCAGTGGAATCCGACGACGAAGCGAGCGACGTTTTTGTTGCACTTGATGTAAAAGAGCTCACAAACGTCTCACTTGCACGTGACTTGACACGGATAGTAGCGAACCACTTCTTTGACTTCGACGTCTATTGACACACATCTTGAATCGAAGGCAATAAAATGAGCGTCTCGTAGCCTCTTCCGCTCGCTCTCTCTCAAGTCATCAGCAATGGTAGACGACCATAATCAATTATTTGGCCAGCACTAAAAGTCCACAGGAAGACTCAACATGCGCGACGCAAAGTTGTACGATGTTCCAATATATTGCGAGCCCGAAAGGCAAAGCTATGATGCTGCATTGGCGCGTCGCGACATGTCGAGTCGGAGATTGCAAACAAGTGGATGCTCGGACCGTTGCGATCGAGGTTGGTAGCTATGACGTACAGAAGGCAGGTGGTAGATATGGCTGGGATGCCCACACGTATATCGAGCGAGGCGACATTCTTGTTGACCGTCCAAGTGATCATCATCAATTTTCTCGGTCATTCATTCAGCTTCTCATGTGGGTCCGAGCTCTTCGATGTAGTTTCATCGGCCGTCAGCTTTGGACCGTTCAGCACTCGCACGCTATCGACAAAAGCGGTGTCACATCGACTGAAACGTGGACGGCATGGTGGAGGTTGAGTCGAGGAGAGACCCCATGGTCAGGATGATGATGATGCAGGATAGCTGTGAAACCATGTTCGGAAACGCGGTCAATCCGACTCGTTTGCCAATATGTCTGGATGGTTTGCAATTGACGTCGATGGTGGCGAACCTCAGAGAGCAAACTTGAGCCAGGGGTCGTTCCGATAGTCGAACGCCGCTAGGCCATGGTGCAGGGATGTCATGTTGAGGCCAGACCGTACTTGGCTGAAAATCACGTCGAATTCGGGATGGATCGGCTACCCTACTAACGTGACTGACGATGGCTGAGGTGCTTGCTACGCAAATGCAGACGAGTAATGAAGTCTATGCTGCTGGACCTTCACATTTTGGAGACCGTTGGTAGAGACCGCAGTGGCTCGTACCAAACGCAAAGCTTAGGTCATAGTGTCATGTACATTCAGGGCCATAAGACGTGTCCGAGCACAGCAAACGTCTTTCCGCATATGGCATGACCCCACAGTTTCGGGCGCTTGCCAAAGTGCGATTTGAGTCGGCGCGAAAAAGGGGCGTGTTTGCAAGATGCATCGATGAGCCTGGAAGGTGACCAGTTTCATCATCGATCCATAAAGAGCGTGTCGCCGCAAACGCATCGACATCGTCGAGATGGTCAACAAGTATCACATGATCAATATTGAGTTGAAGATCTGAGACGAAACGCGTGCCAGGCACGAATGTTGCTCCTTGCCGAGTCTGTAAACTGCAGCACATTTGAAGTCGGTGAAAGACACAGAAAGTGGATGGTGTGATGTGAAGAATGTCAGATCCCGATCGCAGCATGTAGAGATGCGTGGTGCCGTGAGCCCATTGCGCTAGCATCTGCCCTTAAAGCACCGGCCTTTGCTTATGCAAATTCAGTGTGGCGCATTCGAGTAGGTCGTTGTTGCAAACTGGAAACTACAAATCAGTCGGTTACATCTGTCATGGCTGGTAATGCACGACGCAAATGGATTAAGGCAGATCCGAAGGCGAAATCATGTTATCACGGACCCCCTGGACAGCTGTGACCAATTCAAAGATAGCCAGGTGGAATGTCTTTCACGTCACAAGGGCTTTATTTTTCCTCCCTAGTCGCTTCACCTATGAATCAATTGACCAAACACGCAGAGTTCTACGTGTCGCTCACGCCAGTGCTGTTCAAGGCCAATCATTGGAGTACGATCGCAGCGCTAGGAGAGCCGGTGATGCGACTTCATGCGCGCATAGACGCCGCTCTGTGTGAAGTAACTCGCGCACGAGATGTAATCGGGCGCATGAAGTACTCTTTGTGGTCTTTACGACATGTTCTTGCGCATCATTATTTGGACAACGTAGCAGGAATTTATGCATTGAGTCCGCCTTCACTCGACCATCACCGATGCCTCATTGAATTCCGCCGGAATTCAAGACGCGGACAAGTACATGATGTCGCATTTTTCCAAGCTCCTTCGTAGCCTCCCGAGCCAAACTTGAGCCTGTCCCACATGAGACCTGATCACGTTTCACCTGGATCAAACTCGTTGTACCTTTGCTGTCCATGACTCATACCATTTTCTACAGAAAGGTTGACGCTTTCGCAGGATCCATGCATCTGCTAGAATGTTTACTTCAGTCCATGCATCGGTCACATACAAGGAAACGTCAACGAAGACTTGTAGATAGCCATTATCAATGGAGTTTGTCACTAAAGGACAAAGGAGACACTTTTCGGACCGAGAACGTGCTAATCCAGCTGTGGAGAAGAGACTTGTACATCAGTTTTGTACAAGATGTAGAAAGATTGGAGCACGTTGCTGAACTGGAAGAACAGCTGAGATAGACGAGTTGATACAGTTTACTCAGTTGGATTGTTATACTCGTACCGACCATCAAATGAAAACATCTCAACTGTGTGATGAAGCTCTTCGTGGCAGCGCACAAACAACTTGCGCCGCAACTGGACTGTTTTCAACTACTTCGTATGGCTCCGATGTTCGCATCTGTGTGATGCACATTGTCAACATCGATGTAAATGAAGTTGATCTTACATTGACAACCCACCAGTAGTTCTCATTGAAGTAACGAAGCTGGGATATGGGATATGGTATGGTCGTTACCGTTCGGCAAAAGCTATGGCGAAAGAGTGCTCTCCTTGTTCGTGAGCGGTAGAATACGTCGAGGCTGGTGTGCTTGGGACCGAAGGCATTCGTCAGTTATCAGCGGTAAGCAGCACAGCCATTTCCGCAGCACAGCGCAGCACCCATTTGGGCCGCGGTCCCGACCGCGGTCGGGGCCGGATGTTCTTGGTTGTTGAAGAAGGTTCTTGAAGCATCACATCGGGCAGGTTCTACTGTAAGAGGCTTCATATTTCCATCTCGACGTGGTAAGAGCTCTCCGGTGGCTTTTTTCGCATGAACAACTACTTTCGCACTGGATCATCATGAACACGGCATTGCGGCTAATGATGGACAGAAGCCGTTCCTTTTGCGCTGTGCCTATCATAGTGTGCCAACTGTTTCACAGATCTGTTGCACAAGGTGCACCGCCAGGTCAAAGTGCGCAGGTTAGGTATGGGCAACGGTAAAGGCAATTCGTGAAGGTACTTGATGTTAGTTCTGCACTTTCTTGTGTTGACTCATTCAGAGTGCACCGACGGATGCGGCTTGCCAGAAGCACTCAAAAGTTGATCCAGTTGGACAGTATCGTCGATTGCGCCGGAGAACGCGGGTGCGCTAAAACGCAGAGGTGTCCTACACACTCTACACAATGGATCCTAACATTTTTCACGTCCTTTAATCTGTTTTGAGTAAGGATCGACCGATGCACTATTCAGTCTAACGACCTGTTACTGCTCTGTTCAGCGCAAGCCCTTACGTTCTGCGCTGCTTGCTGGCTACTGCTTGGTACGCGCTAGCTGTCGCGTGCCTTTCTTGTGCCACTCTCTCACTGGCAAATTCGGATGTTTCGGACGAAGTGTGGGAGCCGACCAAATACGGATCGTCTGCAATGCAAGCTCGAAGGCCTCTCACATCGCTTTGTGACGTGGTACATATCGTTGGGGAACGTAGCAGACTTCTGCGGGACAGTTGTTACTGCCGAGCCGTCTGCTCGTTGGCGCCAGAGTTCCCGGGTGGTACCATCGGGTCTTTTTCTCTCACACTTTCTTGAAGGATCACCAATCGGTCGCAGTGCGTGGGAGAATTAAACCGGCAATCGTATAAACCCATGAGTTCCTTCCTGCGATAGAGAGGCTGCACCGAATCTATCCGTCAGTCTGCTCGACTCCAGAACGAACGACCTCTCTGGGCAAATATCCAACGCTCGCGACATCCGATCGTACAACACTTGCTCACCATCGGGCATGGCATCACGACCGGACGTTTCAGTCAACGCACTCTATACCTGGCATTTCACGATTGGAATACCTTCACACAAGTCGTTGTTGACGATGAGATTATCAACGGGTGCTGTCCTCATCGCTGCCGTCGTCTGCCTCGACACCGGGAACTTCTCCTTTGCAGCCAAGTATACTGGCAAGAGTGTAAGTGTGGCGATGCTTCCAAACGAGAGCCGACGTCTACGGTCTCAGGACATGCCAGCGAACGAAGACTTCGTAGCGAGCCGAGAGGAAGAAAGGTGGTTCAAGAAGATCTGGCAGATGTTGGACGATATTATACATCCGAAGACACCCGAAGAGCTTCATTACCGAGCTTTGGCAGAGACAAACCAAAAGTTTTACACCGAATTGCTGACGGACCTAGATAAACAAGCTGAGCGATTCAATTCATGGAAAGAATTTAGGCTACCGGTGGATTTGGTGCAGGAAACGATGAGACATTTTGGTCTACATCCTGCGGTTGTCGAAGAGCTCTCCGGCTTGTACAGGCTCCATCTGGGCCCTGGTGGTTTGTCGTAACGCGCAACAAACAACAGGCACATGTCGTTCGACTCAATGTCTGCCTCTCAACACGTTTGATGCCGCTTACGCATGCGGTGGCTATTCCATGGGCACTAAACGATTGTAGCTATTTGGACTGGACCCTCAATATTGTCGCTCTGTACGTCCACTAACATAAGTTTAAAATGCAGCTACCGTCGTTTCTCTCGGAGTTTTACACATGGTCTTTATCTCGTCAGATTCTTGCGATCTCCCCTGTTCACGACTCGCTA